ATCGGAGATAAAAGTTGCTTCGGATATGCCATGGTTGTTATCGTCTTTTTCATTCTCATTTTATGAACCAGACAGGGGAAGGAGGTTGCGATAGTGCTTATATCTCTTCCTATCCCGTCAAAACTTCAACCTACCTCGTATCCGATGGTATGACACGAGTGTAATATAGACTTATGACTTCCTCACGGGACTTTACGATCTCTGGTTTCTGATTCTTCCCGTAACATATCCTAGCCAAGTTTCGTAGCTGATTATCATGGATTCACCAGATGCCCACGTTGCCCACGTGGAGGCATCTAGGAATGTGTACAGTATATATACCCCACGTGGCGTGCATGCCATCCATAAATCTAGAAGGTAGGGAACTGCTGTCCAAACATATCCGCCAGGTTGTCAAAGTTGCTCCCCTGCAACAGATCCATCATGTCCGCAGCATCCACGCCGTCCATGGCCGCGAACCCCGAGATTGAACCCGGGTGGTCATCGTCGCCCCACGTGAATCGATCGTGACTGTCCGCCCTTACGAGTCCCGGATCCAGCGGTAATTCCGTCTGGCTATTGCTGTTGCGTGTGGCCGTGGGATGTCGGACATCTCCCTCTTTATTGTCATTATTGTTGTTATTCGTGGTGTTAGCTGGACTGGTGGTAGCTGTGGTGGGACCGTCGGCAGACAGGTGGTTGTTTGACGGTGGATTGTTGCTTTCTGCTACTGCTGCTGCTGCTGCTTCACCCAAAGAGGGAAGTGGTGGTGGAGGAGGAGGAGGAGGAGGAGGAGGAGGAGGTCTGCGATGTCGACTGCTTCCTGAGAGGTCTGATGCTTGCTGCAGATGGTTGTCTAAGTTGCGTTTGCGCGTGATGGGTGGTGTATCGGTTGAGGGTCGTGCGATGGGACCGGTAGTGTTCTGGTGGTGATGGTGGTGGTGGTGGTGGATGTAGCGGGAGAGAAGAGAGAGGGATTTGTGGCATTGCTTGGCGGTTTCCCATTGGTGGGCCATGCTTTCGAGGATGGTGAGGCATTTTGAGATTTCTCTGTTTGGTTGGAGTTAGTTTATGTGGGTTGGGATGTGAAGAGAGAGGGAGGGAGGGTGGTTTTTGGTTGACGGTTGGAAGGATCGTGAAAGGATGAATTAATCTTGTAATGTACAGTAGAGGGTGAATGGGAGGGAATAAGATGTGACATACTGGGATCCTTTGGACAAGACGTATTGACGGAGTTGACATGCAAATGCGAGCACGAGACCGGACATCCATGCGGCTGATAGGAACCCAGGCCAGAAGAACGCCTGTCCGCTTTCTTGCTGGGTGGTCAAGGCTGCGAGGATCTCGCGGGCGGCGCCGATGCAGGTTTGCAGGCCGGAGCAGAATTCCGGGCTAGACGGGTTGAGGGAGAGGGAGGGACGGTTGATGAGGAGGATGAGGTGTTGGTAGAGGACGGTGAAGAAGGGGCCGAATTTAAATGGGGCGTCGGGGTTTGTCGTGACTGTTGCTGCTGGGTTGGGATCCTTGGAGGAAGAGGGTGGTGGTGGTGGGACAGGTTGATGGGCCCCTCCTTGCTGGAGAGACTCGATCGATAGACTATTCCACCACTTGTGGACGTCGGTGATGAGGAAGAGCACTGAGCTGTGAGGGACGGAGCGGACCAGGATGGACTTGTGGAACAGCTCGATCGCTCGCCCTGTTAGTTTCCCGGACTCGACGTAACTTGCGAACACGAGCTCTCGCCGATGCTGTTCGTTGTCTTCGGCGGAATGTCTTGGTGTTGCGGACATTGGCTGCTGGCCATACGCTGACCTCTCGAGCCTGCGCAATCGGTCTTCTGTAGAGATGGGCGAGGATCCTGCAGTGCTGGGGGTAACGGCACGTCTGATGGCATTTATCCTCTCATAAGAACCTGGGATGTGGATCTCGGAAGCCAAAGGCGGGCAAACGTCAATATCGGAGTCTTGGATTCCAAGAGGCAGACCAAGCGTTTGGCTCAAGTATCGATCAATGGCGTATGCAGACCAGAAGATCCGCTTGCGTAGCTGCCGGTCATGAGAGGTAAGTTCCTTGTAGCGATAAGGACAACGATGAAGACCTGCATGCAGTATGGATCGAAGCATACAGCCACCGACGGTGGAGGCCGTCCGAAGTGACATTTTAGCTACGAGATATAGTTGAGAGGCGAGCAGCGCCTGCACAGAGAGGATATCATGTCTGCAGGACAGGTTTCCAAGCAAAGCATGCATGCTGTTGGATGACTCGATGCGCGATTCACGAGGAAAGTCAATCTCTGGACACAGTAGACTAGCCAGATTGAAGACACATTGGAAGATGGTCGTCCAGCAAGCACTTCGATGCTCCTCTAGAGGCAGAACCTCGGTGGCCAACTGATGTCGTTCGGAGCATAACGCTTCCATGGCGTTCAAGAACGACGGACCGTGCAAGAATGGAAACAGCGGATGCCAAACTTTGAAGTACATCATCATCAGCTCCCGAGCTGTATCCAGTGATGGGAACTTCCCCAGGATTGCGGCCACCCCGGGGTCATATCTCCATTGTCGCAAGGCATGGCTATTCCCTTGAGCGGTTGGAGATGTTGCGGCAGGCAATGACGCTGATCTTCGGGCAGATGGCAAGCCCTCACTGCCTACTAGAGTATCTTCCGGAGGAGGGAACCCCTGGCTAGAAGATGAAGCATCTAATGGGTCCAGACTGTGGGAGAAAGCCCGTCGGACTGTCTTGATGAAGTAAACGCCGCTGGAGCTGCCGACAAACTCACTTTCTTCCTGTGAGTGGGCAGTCAGGGACCCGATTTCCGTCGGGCCAGACGCGGGTACTGGGGACTGCATCTTGGCAGGAGCATGATGCCCGCCCTAATGATGAGTTGTATAATTATATCCGGACCCGAAGGATACCAGGATTTTAAAGGTCGAAATTGATGCGACTGTCGGTCCATCGAGTTGACTCGGAGATCGGCCGGAGCGGAAAAGCCGACCTGCTTAGTCAGATCCCGCCTCAGCGCCTGCCACGCGGAGTATAAGTTACAATTTAGTACGATGTAAGATCTTAGACAGCAGTGATGTATACAGTATTTTGTGTTTGGCTCGGGGAAGTCTATTAGGTCTAAGGCTAATTTGTCTTAAGCTGCTCAATCTCCCTCTTGACTGCATCGACAACGCCTTGAGTGTTGGCCGTGCCTCCAAGATCAGCAGTCAGAATACCAGCTCTGCACACCTTCTCAACACATTCCATCAACTTCTTCGCCGCTTCCTTTTCGCCCAGCCATTGCAGCATCTCGGCAGCAGACCAGAAAGTAGCCACCGGGTTGGCGACGCCCTTCCCCATAATATCGAAGGCACTGCCATGTACCGGCTCAAAGATGGAAGGATTCTTCCGAGTAGGGTCGAGGTTTGCCGAGGGAGCCACGCCAATTGACCCTGCTAAGCCAGCAGCAAGGTCAGACAGAATATCCATGTGCAAGTTGGTACCCACGATAGTATCCAATGACTCCGGCTTGTTTACCATACGGATAGTCATGGCATCTACCAGCATCTTGTCCCAAGTCACGTCGGGGAAGTCTTTGGACACTTCCTCTGCTATTTTGTCCCAGAGCACCATGCCATATCGCATGGCGTTGCTCTTAGTCACCACCGTGAGATGACGGCGCGGCCTTAAGCGTGCAGTCTCGAAGGCAAAACGCATAATCCTCTCGATGCCGACTCGAGTAAAGATCGCCACCTCCGTCGCAGTTTCCCATGGCTGATTGATATGACTGATTCCGCCTTGCCCACAGTATTCGCCTTCTGAGTTCTCTCGTACAAGCATCCAATCGATTCCCTCGGCTGCAGTGTTGAGAGGGGACTTGGTACCCGGAAATGTGCGTACGGGACGTACGTTGGCATAGAGTTGTAAGGGTCCGCGGATGGCTAGGAGGAGGCCCCAAAGGGAGACATGGTCAGGGACATCTAGGGGTTCTCTGTTAGCCCTACTGCACAGATCTGGCAGCCATCCAGGCACTTCTCAGCAGGGAACGGGTCCAATTACCTGGATGTCCTACTGAGCCGAACAAACCTGCGTCAAACTTCCGCAGGATGTCTAAGGCATCTTCGGACACATATTGACCGTGCTGCTTATAGTAGTCCGTTCCCCACGGGATGTGCTCGAATTCAATAGCGAAGGTACCGAGGGTTTGCGCGAGTTTGTTGACTACTTCAATGGTCGCCTTCACCACTTCCAAGCCAACTCCGTCACCGGGAATAGATGCAATCCGGTATGAAGTCTTCTCAGCCATTCTGTTAACAAGGAGGTAGCTTGCTCGAGCAGATCAAATGTCGTTCGATTAGTCGTTAGCATGTAGTACCCCCTCATGCTTCGTTGAATCTTTATACTCCGTACTTCGCATACGTTCTGCCTGAAAGTTCATCCATTCTGATTTTGGTGATCTATATCCACTCGGACTGCACCCGAGACCATGTTGATAGGTCTCTCCATCTGACATCCAGCTATATCAAGTCTCAAATTGAGCTAAACATATGAGTATGCAGCTGCTTCTGGTGCAGTATTGTTGGAGTCATTCTGCGTTATCTTATCCATGCCTACGGCAATGGTTCGTATAGCCTACCGTATTCAGCTGTTCAAATTCTTATGGCCACAGCTGTAGATATTGCTTCTCTCAAGAACAATGGTCGAAAGCTGTCACAAGTGTTCCAGACCGCTTTACCCCGGAGTAGATGTGATGCCAACGACATCATCTATCAGGGATACTAAATCCAGGAGGATGATCGTTGATCCATGCAGGGCAGGAAAAGCAGGAGTCGGCTAACCCTTCAGCCGGTGACTTCCCCACTGCTTCCCGCACTTAGCCGAATCGGGGGTTTTGCGACTTCCTCCATGCGATAATAATATGGGGCAAGAAAGGTAGACTTCCCCGAATTCCCACAGGCGCGCGACTTTGGCCTGCAGTCCAAACTTTTCCAGGATCTCTATCTGTGTTGCTGCAATAAGTTCTGCCTAAAGAAATGGCCCCGAGCAAAGCGATCAAAGTCTCTCGGATCACCGTGGCATGCAATTCCTGCCGGTTCAGGAAGCAGAAGGTAAGCTCCACCCATTGGCTATCAACTAGTTCTTATCGCGAGATGCGATTCTAACGTGAACCCCGCAATTCGCAGTGCAATGGAAATAAGTGAGCCAGTTCCACTCGCTCCCACCCGAAAGACTTCGTTAGAAAGTGAAAAAAGACATCTCAGAGCTAATTACCATGGTGGTTAAGACCGATCTGCACACAATGTCATCAGCACAACCGGCGTTGCGATTGGCCCGAACAACTGAAACGGTACGCCGACGCACTGTTTCTACCCCCAACCACTTTGACAGGCTTAACATCCCTACAGAGGCCCCGCCAAAGGCTACATCGAAGCTCTCGAGCACCGACTCCAAGAGACCGAATCTCTGCTATTAAAATTCCTGGCACACATGTCCGACGCCCAAATATCATCCTCGATACATAATGCCCAGTCAGATATCCATTCCGGCATGACCGCGGCCCGAAGTCCTCCGCCGTCGTATACACCGTCCTCGCGATCGGGGAAACGAGGAACGGAGTACTGGAAACGGTTTCCTCTCAACAGCGTACAGGATGTCAGAGCGTGGCAGCAGGACTGCCTGAATCAAGAACAACGAACGGGCTCAGGACGAAACTCGGCGGACCGGGCGGTCACGAGCGTCTCCGACATCCTCAATTCCAGGGATAGTGAGCTCCTGAGGGAAACTTCACACGAACCCAGCGACTATCGACCGGCGGCTGCCTCCAGGTCAGAGCTTCCACCGCTAACCCCATACCGAGCCAACGTATATGCGAGACTGGACGAAGTTAGCGAACCGGTGAAAGAACCGATAAGTAACCTCGAGAATCACCCGGATGCGTACAGAGAGAGGGAGGCTGAGCCGCATTCTGGTCCGATGTTTCCCGCCATACAGCTCCCTCGTATCAGTTGTTCCCAGTCGGATCACTTGCGGGGGCATGGGCTGAACACACCGCAGGCACCGAGTTTATGGAGGGGCGCACCTTCTGTGGGGTTTCAGCAGCAATATCTTTGGTAGTGACGGGCAGGAGCATATACACACATAAATATACCTAGATGGAATTCTTTTCAGATTGTCATATATTAGCCTTGGGATTCGCAGGAGTCATGCTGTTGACGGTGCAATGTACTTCTTCAAAGCTTTCCCGCACGTAATTTGATATTCTCTGTTACCAGGATGCGCGGCCATTCATTCCTGACAATAGAGGAATACGAAATAAAAACTACTTATTCTTGTTCCAGTCTGACAAAGCCATCGGCGGGTGGTAGTATAAGACAAGATACCCGTAGACCTTCAATTAGGCCAGTCGCTCGGGCCCCACGACGAACCCCACATGCGGGGATGACATGGTAAGTGATGCAACTTGGAAGGGTTCTGGACCAGTAGCGATACTCTTGGATCTCAAGCTAATATCTTTTAATTCGACCGCTAAACATATGCATCTGAGCTAGTGACTCGGACTAGTACTTTGTGGCTGGTTAAAGAGAACGGCGTTGTATACCCGCTTCAAATAGTCGCATAGCGGCACTTAACCAAGACCCAGAACTGACTCCAAAAGTCATCCGCTGTCAAGAACTTCGATACCGCCCAGACTTTCGCGTCGCATTCGACTGTACAGTATGTCTCTGCTACAAATTGACCGACGAGTCATCGAAGCAGACCTCCTTACATCGCCATGACGCCATGCCCCCTGACACACAATCATGCAAGGAAAGAACTCTCCATTTGCCATCCAGCATGGTACAATATCCTTAGCCTTTCGACCAGTTATCTATGCGTATGACTATTGAACTATGAGAGTAGCATGATCTCATCCCCCAGTCATAACCTCCCCTTTAGAATGAGGGGGGAAAGGGTGGCATGTAAACCCCCATCCCAGTTAGCGTCCATCCTATCTCTTTCCCTTCCAGTAGCAAACAATCCTCAAGAAACAATCTTCCATTACACAATTCACTATTTATACTTCTTGTTCTTGTTGTTGGTATGGATATATGTCTGGGATATGGCAGATATAGGGGTTATGTGAAGAGCTGGTAGGAAGGATGATGGATAGATCTAAATTGGTTTGTCCAGTTCGATGGTAATCAATAGGTCATTCTCACATTATATACACAAATTCTATCAAGAAGTACTAGGTAGGGTTCTCTAGGTCCTTTAAAATTGTTACAGCATGGGCTTGAGGTCCTCGGCGACCTTGAAAGGAGCAGCAGTCTTGCTGCGGATCTCCTCAACGGTCACGCCCTCGGCGTGCTCGACCAGAGTCAAACCCTCGGTGGGGCTGACCTCGAAGACGGCCAGATCGGTGATGATCTTCCACACGCAGCGGGGACCGGTGAGGGGGAAAGTGCAGTCGGCCAAGATCTTGGGGTTGCCCTTCTTGTCGGTGTGTTCCTGTTTTGCGACGCTGATTAGTGACTGCATTGAAGATTAAAGGTGGACTAGGCGTGCTTACCATAGTAACAACAACCTTGGTCTTCTCGGGGTTGGCGACCAAGTCCATGGCACCACCGACACCCTTGACCTTACCGGGAAGCATGAAGTTGGCCAAATCTGGAGAAAGCCGAATTAGCAAGTGGGATCGACGTAAACCCGGAGTTTGGCGGATCACTCACCTCCGTACTGGCTGACCTGCAGAGCACCGAGCATAGTCAAGTCAATGCGACCAGCGCGAATCATACCGAAACTCTCGTGGGAACCGAAGAGAGAAGCACCGTTGTCCAAGGTGACAGTCTCCTTGCCGGGGTTGATCAAGTCGGGGTCCTCCTGGCCGGGCTGGGGGTAGCCACCCAGACCCAGGATACCGTTCTCGGCTTGGAGGACGACCTCGACACCCTCGGGGAGGTAGGCGGGCGCAATCAGGGGCATTCCGATACCGAGGTTGACGTACATGCCATCGCGGAACTCCTTGGCGGCACGCTTGACGATGCGCTCGCGGCGGGCGGTGGCGGCGCTGTCACCAGCCTGGAGCAACTCACTGGGATCCTTGGCGAAGGTGAGCTTCTCGATCTGCTTCTCGCCGGTGCTCTGGATGACCTTGTTGACGTAGATGCTCTGGATGTGGATGTTCTCGGGAGCGATCTCGCCAACCTCGACGATCTCATCGGCCTCGACGATGGTGTACTTGGCGTTCTTGGCCATGGCCTCGTTGAAGTTGTTCATAGCCTTGCGGAACTGGCAGTTGCCCAGCTTGTCGGCCTTGTGGACCTTGACCAGGGCGTAGTCACCGAAAATCGATTCTTCCAGGAGGTATTGCTTGCCGTTGAATTCGCGGGTTTCCTTGGGCTTGGACGTGAGGGCCACGGTGCCATCCTTGTTGTAGCGGACGGGGAGTTCACCAGTTTGTACTATGTCCCTGATTAGCTAGATTCACCCCCCCCAACAGCAATGCGCAAACATACCGATAGTTCCATAAGCAGCGGGGGTATAGAAAGCAGGGACACCAGAAGCACCAGCAGCGCACTTCTCAGCGATAGTGCCCTGGGGAGTCAATTCCAATTCGAGATCACCGTTCAAGTACATCTTCTCGAAGACCTTGTTTTCACCGATGAAAGACGCAATCATCTTGGTGATCTGCTTGGACTCAAGCAGTTGACCTGCTCACAGTCAGAATGAAGCCGTCCGATATGTCTCCGGTGCCATTGGACCTACCAAGACCACGACCAGGCATGCCAGCATTGTTAGAGACGACAGTCAAATCCTTGATATCCGGGCGATCGCGCACAGCATCGATCAATGTGTTGGGGACACCCGAGAAACCGAAACCTCCGACCAGAACGGTGGAAGCACCCTTCATTTCCTTGATGGCTTCCTGAGCCGAAGGGCAGATCTTGTTAATAGCTCTTTGCGAGGTAGACGCGGAGAAGTTCCGCCGCCATACGGGGCGGAACACGGCGGGAACCGCAGGGAAAGGCCGCGACATGATTGTCGATCAGCCTGGCCAGATGTGAATTGAGTACAAAACTGGGGAAGGAAGGAAGAAAGAAAGCAAAAAAAGAAGGGGAGGAGTTGGGGGCGTAGAAGTACTAGTCGAAGAAATCCCCGGGTCTTGTCTCTGCATAGCTCGTCTCCGTTTCGGCTAGTGACCACCGCCACGCAGCCGACAAAAGCGATTATCCGCCGAAACTCCAACTTCGCTTTGCCGGCTTCCGAAGCCGACCCCACTGCGTCCGTGACTGGTGGCTGGTATTGTCTTGTACGTCGTGCCCGCCCATGGGGGAGAAACGTTCAACCCTGCGGGGAGGGACGGGGCATCGCGCACAGGGCTCACGCGACCCCGATCGGGTTCGAATAAGGTATTCGCCAGTCCGATGAAGAGTCACCGAGGCTAGAACATTTTCAAGATTGATCGGGGTCGCTCGAGGTGAAATTGATGGTTTCTCAGCGTCCGCTACACCAGAAGTCCTTAAGCATGTTCGCTGGTCGACTCCCGTCATGAATACCGCGTAATTTACAATTCCGAAAGCGGGAAGGGCATCGGCAAGCGTCTGGAGGCGATGGCAGTTGGCCAACTGCGAGATCGGGTGAAATCGCACCTGCTCACGGGATCTCAAGGAATTCATTGCCGATGGGAATCCGACGAACAAAGGGCAGACTGTGGGGTGGATCTGCCGAATCCTGGGGTAGGTATCGTCGCCCATTGTCTAATCCCAGTCTCAGTCTCAGTCTCATCTCACTGTCTCAACAATGATGACAAGGAATTCATAAATGGTGATACCTGGAAGATCCTTCCAGTAGCGTTGCTCTACTGCTCTACAATCGTGCCGTGATTGCGGCAGTATCTTATCAATAAGGTAACGGAACTGCCGAGGTGCATTAGCATCATTTTTCCTCACCTTTCATTGGTCGAGGCCAAAGTAGATTTCAATCTTCGGTCTCGGTCTGCCTGTCTAGTGCCTTGCCGTCTAAACCCCACATCTCAGTAGTCGGTGCCTGAGGATGTGCATTGTTTTTGTTTTCCAGCACGAGTTGGCTCAGCAATAGATGCTCTCATCTGCGTTGCACTCCAAAGCAGCCTTCATTCCCTACTACCAGCAGAAGAACAATTGTTCTGTGGTCGTCAATACCCATGGAAAAAAAAACACCCCGCAAGTGTCATCTTGAGAGCAATCATGACGTGAGAACGATGAAAACCACACATGGCTCGGAAATGAAAAAAAATCACATGAAAGCATCTCACATATATTACCTGAACTACGTATCAAGGACGATGCGAAGAGATTCTACTGGGGGCTGCACAAGTACACCAAGACAGACAATGCGAGCATCAAATCTGTCGAGGCCGAGACCATGGAATGGTGGAACTACGACGCCAGTGACGGCTTCAGTCTTCAGAACCTCTATAAATGGATCCAGCAGAAGCAGACGGACCAATACAAAGATATCCAAGAACTCACCGACACCCGCGAGAGGACCCTTCTTACCATCTTGCCAGATACCAACTTTGGAGACCGGTTCTGGCTGATTCTGCCCGGATTCCAGGGTCCGTCGATTGAGGACCTGTGGGAGGATCGAGCGCGTCTTTGAGAGACGAATCGAAACTCGGTCGGGATGACAATGGATTGGGACAGCTGCAGGTCTGATTTTGGGTATTTCTTATTGTGCCTCCTAATTAATCTGTACCTTGGGATGATAAGATGTTATTAATTGAGTTCAAGCTGTTTCTATTTTAGGCATAATCGACATTGATTAGTTGCAATGGGATTTAATCGATTATGAACTCATTGCTGGAGGTTTCTTATCCCATGAGTTTGTTAGGACCAGATCTCCAAGCGCAAATTACTAGAGATAATTCGGTTGAACTTAGAACCGATAAGTTATACCCCAGGGGAAGTGCATGATTTCCAGCCCCACACGATGACGAAAAGTCGCTGGGCCACCAGGGTAACTTGCTGTTCTTTCTCCGCATCCCCGCAATGGACAACGCCTCGAGGAGTCTCACAAGTCAGAACTCATTCCAAATGTCAACAACTACGTTTAGAACTCTAAAATATCTTGGTTATCCACCAATACTTTTTTTTTAGTCACCTCGCCGGATTCGCCAAAGCAGCAGCAACAATGTTAGCATCACGCTCACTTGCTCGGATAGCTCGTCTGCCTCTGTCGCGAGTCCAGCAGGTCACATCTCGCAGGACGATCGGCTCTGTCAGTGCAATCGACTCGGGCATCTTCCGCACCTTATTCGGAACAGAGGAGATCCGGAAGGTGTTCGACGACGAAGCATACATCCAGCGATGCATCGACGCCGAGGCCGCGCTCGCCAGAGCCCAATCACGATGCGACGTGATTCCCCCACGGATCGGAGACCTGGTTACGCAGAAGCTACGTGAGTCACAGTTGGATATGGACCGTCTGCGACAGGAAACTGAGATTGTCGGATACCCGATTCTGCCGCTTGTTCGTCAACTATCGACGATATGCGGCGAGGAGGCTGGGAAGTACGTTCACTGGGGTGCCACGACGCAGGATATCATGGATCTTGCCAGTGTCCTACAGATGAAAGAGGGTCTGGATATCGTCGAGCGACTTCTCAAGGAAGTCATCTGTACTCTACGCAGCCTGTCCGTGAAATACCGTGACACGCCCATGGCAGGCCGCACCCATCTGCAGCACGCTCTCCCCGTCACCTTCGGCTACAAGTGCGCAGTCTGGCTGTCTGGTTTCCAGCGTCATGCCGAGCGCTTAGCGCAGCTGAAGAGTCGATGCTTACTGGTTCAGTTCGGCGGAGCAGCAGGGTCGTTGGCGTCGCTGGGCTCCGGGGACGACGGGCTCCGCGTACGCAGAGCCCTGGCGGAAGAGCTGGGACTCAAGGACCCGTCCATCACCTGGCATGTCGCGCGAGACTGCGTGGCGGAGATTGTGAACTTCCTGGCGCTGATGGGTGGGTCGATGGGCAAGTTGGCCCTGGATGTTATCATGATGTCGTCGAATGAGCTAGGGGAGGTGTCGGAGCCGTTTGTGCCCCATCGCGGCGCCTCCTCCACCATGCCACAGAAACGCAATCCCATCTCGAGTGAAGTTATCCTTGCCGCATCCAAGATCTTGCGGTCGAATGCAGGCCTGGTGCTCGATGGCATGGTGGCGGACTTCGAGCGTGCATCGGGTCCCTGGCATTTGGAGTGGGTAGCAATCCCAGAGAGCTTTGTGATCACCGTTGGGGCGTTGTCGCAGACGCAGTTCGCTCTGTCCGGCCTTTGTGTGCACAGCAAGCAGATGATGACCAATCTGCACTCGACCAAAGGGCTTATCGTGGCGGAGGCAGTGATGATGGGTCTGGCACCGCATGTGGGTCGCCAGAAAGCACATGATATCGTCTACGAGGCATGCCGGGAGAGCATCGAGACGCAGCAGACATTGTTGCACTGCTTGATGCAGAAGCCGGAGGTGACCTCGAAGCTGACGGAGGAACGCGTGAGCCAGCTCTGTGACCCGGTCAACTACCTCGGTGCATCGATGCGGATGGTGGACGATGTATTAGCTGTCGATTGAGATCTGTTGTTCACGATGAAGATAGAGAGGAATGGATGGTGTGCTTTGCTTGGCGTTGTTGATAAGAAGTGAGGGATTTCCGGGAGCGTCGACCATCCACCATCCACCTTTTACCCTCACCCACATGGCCCCACGCTAAGTATTTCTTTCTGCACGGACGCAGGCCATGACAAGCAAGACTAAGCATAAGTGGTTTATAGGGGAGCACCCCGCATGCTTCATACTAGATATTGTACTGTACTGTACATAGATTAATTGCTTTCTTTCTTCCCTCCCTCCCTCCCTCCCTCCCTCCCTCCTCCCTCGACCCCAAGGTATTAGTTACGCCCGTTGAGCAGGTGATGATTGTTCTACCAGACCAAATCACAGTCCTCCGGCTACATGCACATCGCAAAATACCCAATGACCATGCAGCAATCGACTTCTTCTTTCATTTGGATCCATACCATGTTCGAGGTAACCTGAGCATAACATCATGGATAATGATCGTTGATCGGGACCAGAACTAAAATAAATTAGCGGAACGGTGGCGCATGCACTAAACCCCATGGGGAGGCGACTCTTTTGCAGCTGAGCCAATTTAAATCAAGAGTCGCAATTTGATGAATTCAGGTCATGACGATGGCATTCTCTTGTGATCCATTCCATAGGGTCGTGATTTACCTAAGGTACTCAATACTCAGTTCTCAGTACATTTTACCCTCTCCAGATTCGTTCCGCCCCACTGTTTCTGAGATCGGCGAGAAACCCAGCTGGAAACCACGCTTGACCAGATCGGAGATAACCTGTCCCATTTCCCGACGGCTTGATCTTCGAAGCTCTTCAAACAATCTTCCTCATCCCCTCACACTTTGGTCGCAAGAATATTTCTCCCCTTGATCTCAAACCGATACTCCTTCCGCATGGTGCAACCTCAATGCATTCTTCTGTGTGACTGTCTCTTTGACATACTCACCCCAGTGGCTCCCCGACGAGCAGAATCATGGTCATGAAGCAGTGTACTATCTGCGATCGGCAATTCAAGAAAACAGAGCATTACAAGCGCCATGAACGGTCGCGTATGGCAACCTCACCTTGGGGCTGATTCACACTGATGCTCATATATACTAGACACGAAAGAGAAGCCCTACCAGTGCAGTGTCTGTTTGAAGCGGTTCTCGCGGAGGTAAGTCTGGTGCCCCGGACTCTTACGCGGTCTGATTGATCACTGACCCCGAGATTCTTTTGCAGTGACGTCCTGAGTCGCCATGCTAAAGGCCACAAGAACTCCCGCACCGAGGGGACAAGCGAACCGAAAAGTCTCCAGGCTGCCTCGCCGGCCACCATACCGCATAATGATCGAACGCCGGTTATCTCGCATGCAAGCCAGCAGGGCATGCAGGGCATGAGCCCCAATGATCTTCAACAGATGCAGAATCTCCCGTCGCACCGAGGCATGTCGCTGTCAGCCACACCGGGTATCCCCTCATCGTCTCTGGACTTCTTGGCCGATATATCAACCCATCAACCTCGCACGGAGCCAGAGGTCAACCAAATGATGACGGATGAGCAACATCAATACTTCGGATGGAACCATATCTCCGGTCCGGATCAGCAATGCTTCAGAGGAACCATACTCGATCCAATGCAGAATGACTTGCTGCAGTTCTGGCTGGAGCCTCGCGGAGACTCGATTTCGCACAACGGTTCATTGGACATGATGGGAGAGCCGATTGGTAGCTTGCCCAGTGGAGATTCCGTGTCAACACCTCAGCAGCATCAACAGCAACTCTCAACCGATGGTGAGACCTCGAAATCCGGGAACCTCATTCCGAATGAGCGATTCTCTCGCGTACAGCGCTATTGGCTCGCTCCAGCAAACAACACCGGTCGCCTGATGAACGGCCTGTGGCGAGATGTAGCAAGCAGTGACATGAACAACATATTCACCCTATCGGCAACACCCCCGCCAGATGGCCCAGTTGGACCACAGGGATCGAGGTATGGACTTGACGAAGCGTGTAGACAACGCCTCTATCTTGCTTTTGGACAGACCGAACAGTCGCAGCTGCATGCGCTGCCTGGGACCAACACGCTTCCTCCTTTGGCTCCGGGCTCCATTTCCAAGAACCACAACTTTCCCCCAGCCGAGGTACTCGATATGGCGCTCGATCTTTACTTCCGCGAATTCCACCCACTGGTGCCTTTCATCCATGTCCCTACCTTTTCCGCAAGCAATACGCGGCCTTCGGTACTGTATGCTATGTGTCTCATTGGGATGGTCTTACTGGGGACTAAAGGAACAATGGACTTTGTTTGCAAGAATTTCTCGGTGAGTGAGCAGGCTTTCACATGTTTGGTGCTTTGCTGATGGGCGAAAACAACAGTTGATGCTTGAGCGCCTCACGACCGACCTGGCTAGGTGTTCCGTGGGCGTGGAAAACTCGGTGTGCACCGTCTCTACCTTTGCTGCCTGCTTTCTGTTTCTCAATCTGGCTGCTATGACTGGGGTAGGTTATTCCCATCATCTACCTAGGAGTTGCTGACAGTGCGCAGGAGAAAGAACATCTCGAAAAATGTCAGATGCTCTATGTCAACCTCATATCGGTAAGTGCCGATAGTCATAACAATGTTGGTAGTTCAGAGCTCATAATCTGCAGATAGCGCAACGACATGGTCTTTTCGCTGCCACAGAAGGACAAGTGCTTGACATGAGCCTTTTCGACACCTTTAATGATGTAGAGACGAGGTGGAAAGCCTGGAGTAAGGTGGAGTCTGTGAAAAGGTCGGTACATCGCTCTGTTCTTTTGCGGACTTGGCTAATTGTTTAGATTAATCACCGGTCTGCTGCTATTGGACTCTTGGTATTCTTCATTTATGTCCACGAGTCCCATCGTCGTGCCCGATTCGGTCCAGTTAATACTGCCATGTGACGACGCACTTTTCCGAGCCATCAATGCTATGCGGTGGATGCAGTTGATTTGTAGTGGGAAATGCATGCTCATGCCTACGATTGTGGCACCATCAGAAAGCGTGGGCCTTCCCGAACTAGAAAGCCCGGTCGACGACTTTTGTATGCACGCGGTGCTATCACTGGTGCAGTTGCGGCTCTCTGAAGCCTACTACCGTCTTCTCTCGAACAGACCACAATTCCCCTTCGCGCCGTGCCACACTTACAGTATGGACGCTCGCGCCAGGTGTCTCGCGCCCCTGCAGCTGCAGATCGCCGACAAATATGGAGACATACTTGCTCGATTGAATCCCAATGCGGCTGTGACGTGGCACAATATGTGCTTGACGCTGTCGGCAGACACCCAGATCTTTGATCTAGCGGCAGGACGATCAGGTCCAGCTCCTGGCCGGAAAGCCTTGGCTGACATTGCCGCGTGGTCTCAGACACCGGCTGCCAGACGAGCCTGCCTGCATGCGGCTCACATCTACAAAGTGTTGACGAACCGCAAGACTTCCGACCATATGATGTTCCATTCCGTCTTTTCTCTCTTCTCCGCGGCGCTGGTCCTGGGACTCTACGTTTTCATGGTGCCGAATGTCGCTGATCCGCAAGGAGGGGGCACTGCGATCGAGCTTTTCGATGACATCGACTGGCAGAAGGTGGGCACCGAGGGCCTTACCAATTACATGGTCCCGCACGGCAGTCAACCTTTCTCGCTGTCAGATGAGCCTGCTGTGAACTTCATCCGCAACGGGGGGACGGTGTACCTCCGAGGGATGCCCATTCAAGGCGGATATCAGTCTGCACGACGCGTTCTGCTGGACTATGCCGGGTTGTTGAGAGACGCTGGCAAATGGAGCGTGCGCAAGTTTTCTTATGTGCTTCACATCATGAGTGATGTGTTAATGGATGTAGAATGAAGCGTCGAGTGGCCACTGACAAGGTGCCTGAATTGACTTGCCCAGGTCAGTCACAGTCACTCACAAGCCTAGCCGAAGACGCTCCGATGCAGTGGCATTGATCAGCCGGCTGAACAATGATCACTGGTTTCACGAGCGCACAAAGAGTCACTTTGCTTCAAAAGTGGTTGCAATTATAATCCAAGCTTCTGTACAATACAAACAGGGCAGATGCCCAAACAATATCATACCCCATGAGAACACGAATGGAATTATTGAATCTTTTTCCACTTGTTCAGACCCAAGACCGATTTCTGACCCTCTCCTTCAAAAGCTCCAGCTCCTCCTTGGAGACCACGAGACCTTTCAGCATTTTCTCATCCGCCAACTCCCCAACATCAGGCATCGGATGATGATGCTCCCCGGCCAACACGACCCTCGAACACCCCCTCTCCGGTCTCCCTTCGGCAAACCACAACCCTTCCCCTCGATCCTCATCCCCACCACCACAGCTGCTAATCGTACTGGTGGTACTCGCGCGCCGCACCTGCAAATGCTCTGCCTCGCCTTCCCCTTCCACCCCGACCACCACCGGCAGGGGGCTTTCAGTACCACCCACCCACTCCCCCTCCTCACTCTCACTCTGCCCCCCCACACTGCCCCTGCCCCTGCCACTCGCACTGCCCGTCGCACCGCCCGTCGCACTGTCAGTCGCACTCCACCTCCGCCACCCCCCATTTCCACTGCTGCTGCCGCTGCCGCCGCTGCGATCCTCGCAGAAATCCCCCGTGAATTTCGCCACACTAATCCCATTCCACCGCGCATGCGGCATGTGCAGCACGTCGCGCAGCACGAGCGTCGTCGTGCGCGCGTCGTCGGGCGCCCGCCGCACCCGCAGCTGCACCGTCCCCACGCCCAGCACCCGCTGGTTGGCGATCTGGCACGGCGCCCGGCGGTACGTCGCGAACGAGGCCCGGTTCTTGGCGAAGTGCGTGTTGCTGCTGGCCGGGAGGAGGAGCCAGTCCCAGCATCTCGCCGTTGAGGCTTGTTGGTGGTTTCGGGCGCGGCGGGTGGGTTTCCGGATTCTGGTTGGGGCTGGTTGGGTTCGCTGGGAGGTATATTGGTGGTTGTTGTTGTTGTTGTTGTTGTTGTTGGGTTTTGAAGGGAATTGGGATTGGGGTTGGGACTGGGGAGCTGGGGTTGGGGCCATGCTAGATGCTGATGTTTGGGTGGGTATCGAGCTGCGGTAGTGTGTTGTTGTTGGTGTTCTTGTATACGTTGGCAGGTGGGTTGGTGGTTCTCAATGAGTTAAGGTAGGTATCGAGGGAGGAGGTTGTTATGCGTTCGTGGAGTGTAGTTGGGTATGAGGTATGATGTAGTACAGTATATTGTAGGTATACGAGTGCAGTGAGCGAGTGAGAAGTATACCAGTATGTATACCAAAGATGGAGTATCTACTTTCCTAGGATTTTGAACAAGGGGATATGTGCAAAAGTAGGTTGAAGCTGGCCTACTTCTAAGTACAGAGGGAAAGGGTCGGGGTGGATCAACCAGCAAGGGTCTGGTCTGGTCTGGTCTGGTCTGGTCTGGTCTGGCGGTGGTGGCAAACCCACCCTCCCAATTCGGGAAGAGATCCCTTGTCTTTCATTCACATCACGACGTGACTCCTTACACGAGTCCTCATCAGTATCGAGGGGGGATATCGGACCTATACATGTACACGTCCTCAATTGTCATCTTAATATCGAAATCTAGTGGTTTGTCCAACGAGCCCCTTTTCGTTGCTGAGATGTCTACGCCAGTTGTTTCACCTCGAAAGTCTTGACGTCAGCTGCGATGGCGAACCCACCCAAGCTGGCTGAATACGGTTGCGGGGAGGCAATGCCGCTTTTTGACAGGAGACCCGATTTGGCGTTTTGTTTGGGTCCTTCCACCACATCCCGAGTAGGAAGAAAATGCCTAAGGAATAAGTTCAGGAATAAGAGATAAGCAATAAAGCATGGCTGTAAGGCTTGGCTGCCAATTCCTTTGTAAGACTATCCGTTTATTCTTCCATCACTTCCATCGCTTGCTGTATAGCCTGAGTTTATGTATCTACAACTGGTTTCGCCTTATCTATAGACATGTACCACTCTACCCTCCCTAGTAAAGCATTTCCTTCACCATCTTCCCAATGGCCAAACTACTGGTCAATCCAGGGCTCTCAATGCCCAACAGATTGATAAAACCCGGGAATCCTTCCTCCTCCTGGATCTCAAAGTCCTGCCAGACTTTCGATGAGCCGAAGGAGGAACCGCTGTCCTTATTCAACTTGGGCCGGATTCCACAGTACGACACACTGATCGCGGTGACATCCACGTTCGGAAGATATTTCTTGATCAGAGGCAGCGCCGGCTCGAGCCGGGCTGGGTTGGGCGCCAGGTCATCCGGGCTATCCACCCACTCGGAGTCGGGGCCGAACCGGATCTGGCCGCCCATGTCCAGAGTCAGGTGGATGCCCAGGCCGGCCTGCGCCTTCGTCACGGCGGGGTACACCAGCACGGAGGTCTTGGGGAACGAGGCCGCGTACGAGAGATAGGTCCCCTTGGCGTAGTGCATCGTGCGGTGCCGCTCCGCGGGCAGCAGCATGTTGCTGACCGCACACGCGCCGAGGCCGGCGCTGTTCACCACCGTCTCTGCCGTGATGGAGGTCTCCGCCCCGTCGGCCGACACCGCCGTGATCTCGTAGCCCTGGCCGGGGCCCAGGTGCCGCAGCCCCGTCACCCGCGTCAGGAACGCGCAGTCGCCGCCGCGGTGCTCCAGGTCCCCCTGCAGGTACGTGATCAGGCTGTGGCTGTCGAAGATGCCCGTCGTCGAGCTCTCGAGCACCCCCGCCAGCGCCCGCACCTCGGGCTCCCGCCGCTCGATCTCCTGCCGGCTCAGAAACCGCGTCGGCACCCCGATGCGCTGCGCGTGCTCGTGCATCCGCTCCAGCGAGTCTCGTTCGGTTTCGTCCTGCGCCACCAGCCATTTCCCCGTGTTGCGGTACGGGAGCCCCTGTCGCTGCAACAGGTCGTAGAGCATCTCCTTGCCTTGGATACAGAGCTTGGCCTTGAGGGTGTCGGTGCCGTAGTATAGTCCTGCATGGATGACCTAGCCCGTGTCAGCACTCGAGGATATGACTCTTTCTCTATCTTCCAGCCCCTCAACCCAAAGCCCCCTTCCATTGCTCCCTCCCCTCAATGTACACAATGCACCAGCACGACCAACAAACCCCAAACCCCAACCGATACATCTCTGCATCTCTGCATCTATATCTGGAATATCTCACCTCAGAATTCCGACTACTCGTCTCCGTCCCCGGCGCATCATGCCGCTCCAGCAAAATCGTCGACGTCCCCTCGCGACCGGCTAATTCGCGCGCAACGGCGAGTCCAACCACTCCACCGCCTATGACCTTTCGAAGAAGACATGTATCAGCCGATTTCCTTCCAAGTGAGTGGGTGTCTGGACTTACCGCATGAGTGACGTCGGCGCGGGCAGCGCCCGTGCTGGAGAAGCCGCGCCGGCGCAAGAGAGGGAAAGGGAGGCTTCTGGTGAAGAGCCGGGGAGTTGTCGTGGCCATGGAATTAGTCGATCAAGTGATGAGGCACAAAAATCTGATCAACACTGCGTGCGCTGGAGGCCGCAGAATCAACGCATTTGGCGTAATGGATCGTAGTTGGACAGGATACCGAGCGATACAAGTGACTTTGAAGTACTGTGCCTAGGTTTGGGGGGTGAGAAGGGGAGCGCGACGGCGCGCCGGGATGAGTTGCCCCTCGGGTCGGCCCCGGGGGTCCGATTTAGGCATCTGATAACCAGCTGGGTAGCCCGCGCGGCGATAAGTCGATAAGGGTGTGTGGCTGGGTAAGGCCGGGAAATACAATGCGGAGGGAAGCCCGGGCTAAATTCCAATGTAGCTGCAAGCCATTGATGAACTAACGCAGACTGCTTTTCTTCATGAAAGTGCGGCAGTGGTTAGAGCCCCTCCGAAATAGGAAGGTATTTTACTGGCCTCCCCGGTCTGGCCTCAGGCAAGACTAGAACAACCGAGGTGCAAATGGTTTTATGGTTTATGGCACGGTAAATAGTAAGTAGTGGTATATACTAGAGTCTAGGATACGCTTGAGATTATGCATATGGAAGACCAATCGATGCACCCCAGAAAAGGAGATAAATGCAACAAAGGATACGATTGATTGGTTCATGTATCAAGACCGCTTCCCCACGTTCTTTAACATCTCGTCCAAATGCTGGCTGAAGTCAGTAGGAGCTCAGAACTACTTTCAATGGAAGATGACATACCTGTTTCTGCTCAATCGCTAATTTACCTTGGGTATCCTATTTGTCTGTCAGCATAGTTACCCTTCGAAGAATTGAAGGTTCCTTACACTAATTATAGCCAGAACAAGCGAGTAATTGTTGTAAAGAAATCTCTCCCGTCTCTTTGCATCACCGCCGATACGGCTGAGCTTCGTCAGAAGGTTGTCAAACTCAGCTGTCAAGCGCTTCAAGCTGTTGGCCACGGGTTCATCATCTCCTGCATCACTGCTGAGAACCAATACCCCATGCAGCAGCTGGCCAAACCGCTGCGTGAGGAAATGAGGCGCTGACGACTTGTTCAGATCGTCACCCCCGGCCAAGGACAGGGCGGATACCGCACTACGACCCGTATTCGCGGCCACTCGTTTCAATGATTCGCATTGGGTGTCCATGATGACCTGGAATCGCGGCCATAACTGCATGTTCACTCCGTTGATATAAGAGTCGGCAACGGGGACCTTGCGACGCTGCAACTCAAAAGCGGCGTGCTGGTTTAATCGAACGCAGATCAAGACCCCCAGCGCGTCCGTTGTGTGTTCGATCAGCTGCTTTGTCAGGGTCTGCCCCAAACCAAAGACTGGTTCGAAGATCTCGACCGCTTTGCGCGAAATTTGCTGGAAAGTTAATGTCGAGAACATCTCGGTCATGAAGGAGTATTCGGCAGATACATTATCCACAACGGCAAGATTGAAATTGCGGAATGGCACTTCAAGGCCATGGAAGGAGTTATCTTCCTCTGCTAGATAAGAAGAGATGGCAATCTGAGCACCAGCCCGCAAGATGTCTACCCTCCTTCCTAGGGAAAATGGGTCGTGTGCTGCAGATCCTGCGCGACTGCCGGCAACAGCAGAGCCTAGAATTGTCAGTAACATATTGATACAGGATGCCCCATTCGGCTTACCTGTTTTGTGAGCTGACGGGTCTCCTCCTAGAACCTCATTCCGATCACTGGGGTAAACCTTGATCGACTCGAGCGCTTGACGATATCGTGTGAAGTGCGACAAATAGTACCATCGCATAGTGTTGATATAAGCTTGTGTGATTTGCCCCGTAAGTTCTGGGTGGGCCCTGGAGATATAGCTGTATAGATCTTTGAATTTCACCAGTCGCTGCTGCTGGAGGATCTGAGCATTGATGTTGGGAGACCGTAGCGCTCGGATTTGAGACACCAGGTAGTCCCTGATTCTTTCCACTGCCTATGGAAAGGTCAACCTCAGCGTATGACACGTGCACAAGGGCAATACTGACCTTGTTCTTGATGTCCGTGAGAAGCGGCCGTACGTCCTCGACGGATTTTGTGCTGCTAGAGCCCAAGGCTTTGGCCTCAATGCTTGCCGAGCGAGTTTCCATCTCATTGAGCGCCTTGACCCAATTCTCATCGATCGGTCCCTCGGCAATCAACTTCACTGTTTTGGGGGAGATACTGATCTCCTCCACAGCAGGGCCAAGGAGCTGTTCAACATTGCGTCGGTTTTCCAACATTGCAGTCAATTGAATTGAGCGAGACTGCAGAGTCTCGATCTCTGCCGAAACAGCCCCGAGTTCATTCTGGAAATCGTTCAAATATGTCTCCATCGAGCTCGAGACTTCGTCACAACTGGTGATTGCCGAATGTAGATCTTGAAACTTGTTCTGTTCTCGTTCGAATTGCTGAACGGTTTGAGCACCGAGATCAGTGCTGATGATTCGTCTAGGTTCATCCTTCTTGGAGACAAAATCCTCTAAGCTCAGCCCTTGGAAGTCAATGTCTTCCACGAGTTCCGCAAGCTTGAAGTCGGAGTCAACATCAGGAGATGAGTCCCGGTCGGCATTTTGCTTCCCCAGAATGCCATTCAGAACATCGAGGGGGTCAGCAACATCGGAAGGGCGGGATCTTGCAGCGATTTGTCTCAACGGCGGTCTGTCACCGCGTGCGGTTGCGGGAAGGGAGGTGGTCGAATCACTGGGAGTCAAGAGGACGGATAAGGAGGAAGTTTGTCGACTGGGTCCGGCACGATTCTTTTGTATGTTCGGCGACAAGCGAGAGGATGTCCTTCGGGGGGGATGAGGGGAGTTGCTGCGACTGTCAACCTGGGGGCCCGAGGGAGTCGAATGGCCAGCAATGCGGTCTAGCCACATCGTAGAAGGCCGGCACGGAGAAGGGTGCGGATACCGGACAGCTTCCCGGACCTCATTGAGGGGGGAGGAAAGAGAGGGGAGAGGTGAATCAAAGGGAGAAAGGTTCCCCAAGAGGTAGAATTGAGTTGATAAAGACGTGAGAGGAACGGTGAATGCCACCCAGCACCCGGTGAGAAGGAGAAGGAGAGAAGAGAGACCAATGTCCGAAGTGGAGTTGCAAGCACCACCGGGGAAGTAAGAGTAAGTATACGGAGAGCTTAAGATAAGCCAGGGCGAGATGCTACGGTGACCCACAGCAACCACGGATGTGGTTTCTCCGACTCTAGCCCCAAAGCAGCCTAGCGACCACAAAACCCCGCCACAACAAGTGCCTTTTTTTCGCAGTCCATTTGTCGATTTCTTTTCGCCTGTTCCCCCTCTCTGCCTTCCATCCATTTTTCTCTCCTTCTCCTCCTCACTCCTCAGCGTCCTTTTTCCTTCCACTCTCTCTCTTCAGGTTTTCCTTGCATATACCTTCAAATCCATCACCATGTCTGACGAGGTACGTTATGCCCGCTTCAACATGCCCTGGTTCCCGATACCAAATTCGACATCTTTCATAACTGCAACTGCAACTGCTGGGCTTCCGGACTTCTGGGCTTCTGGAAGCCTTGCATCGTGCACCCCTTTCACCCCCCCACCTATATGTCCATTCGTTCCTGCAGGCAATGCATCATATCTTCCGTCTCTCGATCATACATGGTCGCCGTCTTATCTATGATTGACCTATCACTGACTGACCGCTGTTCTGCAGCACCACGAGACCTTCGAGTCCGCCGATGCCGGCGCCTCGATGACCTTCCCCATGCAGTGCTCTGCTCTGCGCAAGAACGGTCACGTTGTCATCAAGGGTCGCCCCTGCAAGATCGTCGACATGTCCACCTCCAAGACTGGCAAGCACGGTCACGCCAAGGTCCACCTTGTCGCCATTGACATCTTCACCGGCAAGAAGTACGAGGATCTGTCTCCCTCCACCCACAACATGGACGTCCCCAACGTCTACCGCAAGGAATACCAGCTCGTGAGTGATTCAACGTGATGCGGAATAGTACAGTCACTGACACTCCACAGCTCGACGTCACTGACGACGGCTTCCTGTCCCTGATGGATGAGGAGGGAGGCACCAAGGATGATGTCAAGCTTCCCGAGGGTGAGGTTGGTGAGAAGATCGAGCGTATGTTCAAGGAGGAGGAGAAGGACTGCAGTAAGTGGAAATTCTATTTATTTCATGAATCTCAATCCCCAATCTAACCATACCCTACAGACGTCACTATCCTCACCTCCATGGGTGAGCAGTGCTGCATGGATGTCAAGGAGGCTCCCCAGAGCAAGTAAACACCTAATCGTGCTCACGGATCTTGTGACTGCCCTGTCAGCTTTTCTGTGTTCCAAAATGGCCTTGCTGTCTTCTTCCATGTGTCCGGTCGGATAAGACACATGGTCACGTTACGACATAATCTGCTTCAATATAAACTTGGGTATGTGAGCCAGTGGCGCTAGTCACGTTCACTTGGCAGCATTAATCGTGCTCTGTCAGAGGAACAGCTCTTGAAATCAGCACCGTCACGATAGTTTTACGAATAAAAAATCTATTATTGTTCCAACCAGGTTTCGCGCTGTAATTGTAGCTTTTACATATCTCCGTAATCACCTCCGTAATCACTTCGACGTATTTTGAAAGTGATTTGAAATCATAAGTCTTGGTTTGACTAGGTCTCGGCGAAAGAAATCGTTGCCTTTAGTCTTTAGAAGACTATAAAGTGCTGTGGATACTGGCTAACTTATGTCACGGGTTGAGGTACATTGAATGGTTGCGACAAGGGGGGAAAAAATCTAATCAGTACGGGAAACTCATCTTACCATTCGACATTGACCCGTATCTGAGGGACCCAGGTCCTCCGTCACTTCCTCACCTCCCCCTGTGACCACAAGAATGAAGAGTACTGCCCTGGATGGAATACATCACACGAGGGGTCTGTGGACAGGAAGGGTGCCGTGAAACGCGGTATTACCTTGACAATGGCCTCTGGTTTTGTAGGCGGGGTCATCAGCAGGAGGTATGAGATGATCCTGACTTGCCTTCACAACCCCACCTTTAAGCGCACTGCTGTTGCCGATCAGACCACCACGCCATCATCGTCTAGAATACTGACGCTATTATGCCGGTAGGGGCGACAAGTGGAAGCGGATGCAGACGATTTTGGAACTCAAGGTCGAACGAGTCGCATAAAGAAAGCGGCGGTCGAAAAAGCCCAAAGGAGTAAGCATTCACAGACGACGGTGGACCTCAAGTCATGCATTCCTAACATCAGGCAGCTTACCGGGGTCGTCAGGCATCTCGTCTGTTTCTGCAAGTCTATCAATTGATTCTCTGGAAACAATCTTACACTTTGGTCCAGAGCCGCGGCTTTCCGCCAGAGTTTGAGGTATGCCTTCAAGTGCACTGGGCACTGCACACGCTTTTCCTTCCCCAATCCGGATATACCCGTATTCACCGTCTGTATGCGTATGCGACTAACCGGGTCAACATCTAGAATGTGATCCGAGACCTATGGGCGCTCCATCTGGATACCTTCGCGGACCAGATCAAGGAGCTGTCAGAGTTGGATGATGAACCGCGATTCTTCAGCTCTCAGCCGGCCTCCAGCTTCGATGAGCCTCCAGAGGCGAAGCTCGGTACCACGCAGACGAAATGGCCTCGACTGATCGATAGTGTGGCCTTGTGCTATATTGCCGCGCTGTTGATGAGGCTTCCTGTGAGCATTGAGGATTTTCATCGGTAACTCCACCCTGACAGCTGGCTCCGTTATCGTTCATATAGTGACCTGGGCGCGATATAGGATGGCTATAAGGGGAGAAATGCCCTTTATCAGAATCATCAAAGATATTCCCCGCGAGATGCGAGATAGACTCCCACCGCAATTCATCGCCATTCTCGAAACTACGGTAAGTCCTTGCTGTCATCATAAACAGAGTGTTGTTTATGACCTAACCGTGAGATAGAAATTGATTCAGCCTGAGCATCTTCATGCAGCCGTGGCGGATCTCCTTTCGTACTATCACCATCGATTTGATATGCAGTTTCCGCCTTTGAACTGGCCCTTCTTGCTGTACAGATACATAAAAAGGCTTGCGCTGCCGAGTGAGTGGGACCTTGCTAGCATGTTGCATTGCATCCTAACCATGTGTGTCTAGTCGACATCTACCCTGCCGTCAAAAGGCTACAACACTTACTGGGTTTCTCTTTCGCATACCCCACGGGTACAAATGGCAGGAGAAGACCACTTCAATTACCGGAAGTACAAGTGGTTGTCCTGATTGTCATTTCTACCAAGCTTCTATTCCCTTTCGATGACTACAACAGATACCCTCTTTCTTCGAAGGAACCTTCTGTTCAGGTCATTGACTGGGTGCTTTGGGCGCAAAACCAAAGGAATTATGACCGTGAACGGACTGCTGGCGGTAAGCTGGGCAAGGGAAATGAGATCTCGGTGACTGAGAAGGACATATTGAGCATGACCCCGTCCCAGATGGATGAGTATATGGATTGGTACGAGAGCTCCTGGCTCGACCACAGCAAAGGTAACTCAGGTCTTGAATTGTTTTTCTTCAGGGCGTCTAGACTAACTTCGACCTAGCACAAAATCCATTGGCCAGTTTCTTCCCGGTCAATGTCAATGCAAGTGAGAGCCAGACCGCCAGCGCTTCAGTAGAGGGGAATGATGCGGAGGCTCTGCTTTCGATGCTGCGAACCTCTACGAGTCAGCTGAAATCAACCAAAGTCATCACCGGGGAGAGTATCGATACACCCCGACCAGGCTCCGCCTATGCGCGCTATCGAACGGAGGCCGATCTTCCTGAGACGGCAAGGCCCTTCTTCGAGACTACTGCCAAAGTAGCTGGAATCTCGCTCTCCACTCTTGTCAGGGCGGTGTCTCAGGCGGAACACAAGATAACCAGATGGCTGGAAGAGCACCGACGGGTCGAAGCGATCAAAGATACGTTGGACACGGACGTCTCTCGAGACACTAGCGAGATGGATGATCAAGATATGTCTGGGTCTGGAGAAGGAGAATAATGAGATGTACATCTACAAGTGCGAATGCAGATGCGTGGACTGTGCTTCTTTGGTTAAGGTGAAAGAGAACACAGTGTGGAAGCCTAGGCCTGTCCATATAGTTACCAAGGGCCAAGGCTCATTTCAATGGAGAGAATCCGATTTCAATCACCATGTCACAAGGATTGAGGAGTGGTGGGCATGACGGCTGCAGTATTGAGGAATATCGACCAACCAGGATGCAATGGTACAAATTGCATACCCGCAACCTTGATAAAACGAAAGTAACTACGCGTGCCAAATAAAGAAACCAGCGAAATCCGTCCGATGATGTAGTCTATGGATGATCGATGGGTACCGTATGGTAAGGACTAAGGACTATGGAGACATGCGGAGGGGCTCCCCGAGCGGAACAGACTGCCCTAAACCCTGATCACGTGCGAAGCCCGTCCACCTCCTGCTAAGCGAGAAATGGTGAAATTGACATCGCCTCTTCCGACCGACCCATTCAGCGAGATCGTCAGCCAGCAACAACGAAAACCGCAGCCAGTACGTATAGCACTATCATGGTCAAGAGGGAGATATATTCAAGTCTGGGAAATCGCAAAACTAACATGCCGTTTTTTCCGCGCTCGTACAGTGCAGATGTAGGTCTTTCCCAAAGCAAAAGTCTTGAACCGCACGATTACTCCCAATGCCCTACCACGCAACCCGATCTCGAAAAGAAAAGAAGCCGGAAACACTTGGACGACATGACATGATGGAGGAATTTTCAGAGAGGGAATCAAGTCGCTGACCAGTGGTTCGTTTTTGAATTCTATAGTTTCGTCAAGACCCTCACGGGTAAGACCATTACCCTCGACGTCGAGTCGAGCGACACCATCGACAACGTCAAGACCAAGATCCAGGATAAGGAGGGCATCCCCCCGGATCAGCAGCGTCTCATCTTCGCTGGTAAGCAGCTCGAGGATGGCCGCACCCTGAGCGACTACAACATCCAGAAGGTATGAAGCGACTCTTCTCCGAAATATGATCTTTTTGCGCACATCGGTTCAGACGTTTGTGTTCGCTGCGCTTGGAGTCTCGGTTTTTTTGTTTTTCTCGAGTGGATTGGGATGATGTTCTGGGTTATTCGATATGGAAAGCTACGGTCGCCTTGCGTCAATCTTTGGATACGGGTATTTGTTCGGTTGATGATGGGGGCCTGATTGTGTCAGGTCCTTCGGGACCGCATCGCCTTCACATACCATCATATCTGGAGAATTATCACTCTCGGAACCCTACCCAGCGCTGCGAATCACGAACGTTCCGATCAACATGTGCATTCGGAAGGAATAACGTCAGCTAACGCAATCATCGTCAAATAGGAGTCCACCCTTCACCTCGTCCTCCGTCTCCGTGGTGGTATCATCGAGCCCTCCCTCAAGGCCCTCGCCTCCAAGTACAACTGCGAGAAGTCTATCTGCCGCAAGTGCTACGTACGTTCCCCACCCATCCCTTTCTGGATCAACATCCCAGCGGATACCTTCTACCTTCGCCGCGCAACCGACCGAATCTATTTCTGACATCTCCCCCCCTAGGCTCGTCTCCCTCCCCGTGCCACCAACTGCCGCAAGAAGAAGTGCGGTCACACCAACCAGCTCCGCCCCAAGAAGAAGCTCAAGTAAACGATTCTCCTGTTACGGTTTTTCTGCGTTGCTGGGGGAGGAAAGCGCTGCTGGGGTTGTTACGACCGGATTGCAACGTAGGGTATTACACGGCGTTGGAATGATAAAACATTATGGCCGAAGTCAAATGTCCATAGTTGGCTGCTCGGAAGAAGTTGCAATCGAAATACAATTGTAAAATTCAAATTTCCTTGGGTCCATTTTTGAATTATTGTGAGGGGAGAAAGTAGGAAAGATACACTCCATACACGCAGTGTGCTTTCGCTTTGGGAAAGTTGCAATGAAACAAAAGACAACAAGAAAGCATTCAACGTTTGTCACAGGCGACATTTCTGGATACGTCTTTTCAGAAAAGGGATCGATCATGGACATTTGACATAGGTGCTACCTGAGCACAAGTGTCTGAACTGGGGTCTAGACGCGGGCCCTTTTTCTGCTTTTGTGATAGAAGTGGAAACATATAGGGTCACAAATGACGCCGTGTTCTCCTTTTCGTCTTGCTTCCCCAGCTCTCCCTCCAAGCCTAGAACATGAACATTTGCGCCTTGCCATCATTGTTCTCGTCGCCGTCGCTCTTGTTCTTCGAGACCGGGCTTCCGTGACTGCATTTACATTTATGACCAGCAATTAGTAGAAGTTCCATTGTGTCATGGGACCCAAGATCTGTAGAAAAAGATCCGGAAATGGGGGGAAGGGAGAAACTCACGCAAAGAACAGGATCTTAATCGCCAACGCAAAGCCGGCATGCAGCAGGACGACCAAGACCAGCAGGATCTTGCTGGCCTTGGCGTCGGTGGCGCTGAGCACGGGGTAGAGGTTGCGCAGGAGGAAAAAGACGGACCAACCGAAGCCGACGCCGACGAGGGCCCAGTTCAGCGCGGTGAGGGGGCTCCAGCTGACAAGGGCGACGGCGATCCAGACGAGGTTGGAGTAGCCGTAGAGCGCCCACGCCTCGACGAGGTCGGCGCTGGAGCTGCCGAACCAGCGGAGCGCGCCCCAGAGCGCGATCGGGAGCACGCCCGTGTACCCGTACACCAGGCCCGCGGCGCCGGACAGCAGCGTGAAGTCGTAGGCGAAGTGCGCGTCGTCGTTATTGCTCAGCCACTGCGAGATCGTGCCCGTCAAAAACAGAATCACCACCACCGTCGTCGCGATCCAGAACGGCCCGTACAGGTCCGGATTCCCCTCCAGCACGTCCAGAAAGTTGTTGCGCGGGTACAGCGTCGCCACGCACCGCCGCAGCACCTCGTTCGTGTCCACGTCGAAGAACTGCGCGTAGTAGTGCACCGTCCACCACGTGTGCTTCGTCGGCGTGCCCCCCGGCGACCGGTCCCGCCGGCCGCGCGAGGTGCTGTGGTCGCCGCCGCCGCCGCCGCCGCTGCCGCCTAGGAATGGGGTCGAGTCTTGTTGGATTTTGGCGGTGCGGGGGTCGTTCTCGAAGTCTGGAGTTTGGGGAATAGCTGGTGAGCTGATGTTTTTGGTTTGGGGTTGTGGGATATTTGGTGTGCGATTTGGCTTACTCGAACGGTGGAATTCAAGGTCTTCCTGAAGGTCGGTGTGGCCGAGGTCGCCCTGTTCATTTGGTTACAACGGCATGAGCTGGGTTTCCCTGGGATGATGGGCGATTTTCTTCGGTAGTGCATTGCTTACCTCGGCGTCCACGTCGACTACCACATCGTAACCCTGGTTTGCCATCTTGGAGGGATCTGGGTTAGATGAATTGACAAGGGAAAGGTGGCTCTTTGTGGTGGTGCAGGTTGCGGGAGTTTGTTGCAACTGAAGAGTACACATCAGCGAACGAGCGGCTCGGGAAAGCCACGCACCAGCCACCAGATGTGGAGCTGGGCCTCCATTCCGCCCGCTGCTTGAAACCACTCGGCTACGTATCACCGTCCGCATGGACAAGATGGCGAAATCTACTTCGTGGTCATGCTTGATCTTGTGCCTTAGGAGATGATGGGCCATATAATCACTTTTGTCATTTATACACTCATGTGCGAAAGTTCTATGCCAAGGGGGCTATTAGTACTGTATACTATACAGCTCTAGATACAATCATCATAGACATTCCATCCTCCTCTAAAGATATTCAGATGAGAAGAGATGACACTAAGGAGTTAGTCACAGATAGCCACGATGCTGCAACGTCGATTTGAGTCGACCCAGATAGGACCAGATGGTACTGTCGAGTCCCTTGCGTCTTATATAGATCGACATCGCCCCGATCAAGACGGTGACGGCCACCGAACCGATTGTTCTCCTGTGGTTCCAAAGGAAGGCAACTGCCTTCTCTCTGCTCTCCTCGTAGCGTAGCTGCCGTGTTTGCTGTTTGAAATATCTAAGGGCTTCATCTTTGCTATGAGTAGGCACAAGTCCCCTGGATGTCTTGAGGACGCTGCATGATGGGACCTGCTTCCAAGCCCCGAATGGCAGCGATTCCGGCGGATAGTCTTTGAAAAGCCGGACGGCAGATAGAATCAGCCCGTCAAGGTCTAGAGGATTGGGTAATTTTGATAGGGTGAAGTGGAGCATCTCTGGCTCTTCTTCGGGAATTCCAAGCAGTTCTTCCCTGCGGGAGAGAATGATCGCTGCGAAGAGGTATACCGACACCACGGGTTCCTCCGCCAGCAGGAAATCGAACAGGCGAGCAATGTCGCTATACTCCTGGATATCATGCGCATACAAGGTCAAAGTCGCCGCGAGGGCAAAGAAGGGTTGGATCTCGGCAAGGTGATGGCGTAATGACGAGTCGGCCAGCTCGATAATCGCTGGCAGTAATTGTAAGTGTTTCAAGGCCGGAGAAAGAGTCGGGAGCATGTAGTCTCGAATCCTTAGGAGTGAGATCTGTGCGACAGCAGGAGCGGCCTCATGGCCGCCAAGCACAAGGTAGAGCACTTGCACGATATCATGGTACCCTTGAAAGTAGCACAGCATTGGATATTTCCGCAAAACTTGCTTGATGAGTTGAGAAAGCTCATCTTTCTTCGTCGAGATCTCCTCATCGGAACCTATTCCAGTGGTTAGATGGCGAGGTGCTGGGTTGGTCGAGGGAAAGCATACCATCAGGATAGTAGACGAAAGACCGATTTACATCTAGCTGGATCTGCTCCTCGTCTGCATGCGGTGGGAGGTCTTCCCACTCTGTGAAGTCGTGATTAGACTCTCTTCGATCGCACTGAAGTAGAATGGGCCCTGGACAGGTCGGATGTCAGTGCACGTAAGGCAGCGTTTCGAGGTTACAGGGACCTACAAGCCACTCGTCTAACATCGTCATTTAGGAAACCACCTTCAGAAGTTGCATAGGAGACCAGTGCGTCAAAGTCACGCAGGTCGCATGCTTGGCGGATAGCGTTCGCCTTTTCAGTTGCACGGGCCTCATTCGTCTCATCAAATGACGAGTCAGTCGTATGCAGAGATTCCTCAGTTACTGTGCTGTTCTGCTCCTTCTCGTCGACCATTTCCGGGTCGCCCGCCGGCTCGTTGATCTGGGACTGGTGAAGATCCATTATTGCCGGCGCAGGCAATGGGATGCGGTGGCCAGCCTCGTCCAGGAACTCACCGTGCCGTTTGAGGCTGAAGGTGGACAAGGATGTTGTATGGAGACGAGCTCAGGAAGGACAGACGGGGTTCGTCCGGTAATGTGCTAAGGCGATTATCTATAAATCCACCTTAATGCGCACTAGGCAAGATCGGCAAATGGAGGTACTTTGTATGCAGATGACGATCGAACCTCAAGTCATGTCGATAAGTCGGCTTATTGTCAGTCTATGTTTGAGCAAAAAGAACCCTACAGTCCCAGCCTGATGCCATTGAGTACTAGAATAAAGAAGATAGTTGGAAGAAATGTTCCAAGGGAAAATAGAGAAGTGGTCTTGACAGCCGCGGAAGTGGCTGCTATCGAGTCCCTAAGGAGCTGTTTTGAAGCCTTGCAGCCTTGCAGCCTGTTGGCCTAAGGCTGCACTTTCTCTACTCCGCCCTGGCACGCACCCGCCGACCGCCCAAAGAGGAAGTAAGGGAAGCCGCAGGCATCAAACAACTAATGATCAATGATCCGCTTCGCGTCAATCCCTCCGGCAAGCTGTGCACATCACGTCACTATCTTCACCCTCGTCATTGATAAGCTCACTCTCAGGCTGAACAAATAAATAGAGCCTACCATCATCAATCGATCGAATTGATTTCTCCCGAATCTGTCAGTTATAGCCCTGATCTGGCCAGGAGACTGAGCGCACTCCTTCACCATGCGTGCCTGAAAGCACAGCTACAAGTTTGGAGGTAGCGAGCGGCCTATGGCATCATACCTACCAGAACTAAACATACTTACCCGCTAGTCGATTCTCCCACAATCTGCCCGTGCTGGGATTTCGCGGTTAGCAACTGCAGCCAAAACCGTGAGGCTGACGGATTCCTTAAATCTCCAGACACACTGAGATTGTCCGGATCACGGGATTACAGCTTGGGCGACACTCAATAATATTATGAGACGCTGATATCGTTTCTATTATCAGCGCGCAGCAAGCGGTGTTTGCAGACCCTTGCATCGTAGGTTTTCTTCCCCTCCCCCCACAAAGAACAGGGGTTGATCTGTTTCAGAATCAGCTCACGAATTAGTTAGAACATATTATTCCTCCTTTGCATGACGGCTATTTATGGTTCTGCAGATCGCTTCTTCCAGCTACATTTGCGGAGAATCCTCGCGCTCGCTGTCCACTCAGTATTCGGTTTTTGCTCTACTCAGTTTCAAAGTGGCATGTGGTTCCTGGACTGTATTGAGCATGGTTAAGGCAGGACCGCACAAGCCGTAGTGTCATCAATTCTGGAAGTCTCCTTCGTTTTCGTAAAGGAGGAATCTGAACCCGACAGACTCTTGAGGCCATTCGCAAAGCTTGCTCAATTTACGCCACGCCACGCCATTTTCAACCGCCTAGCTACTCTTGCCAGACAGTACTTCTGCGGCGCTTGTTATCTGATCATCCGTTGCTGCGGGCCTTTCTTACAGACCCCATGGCGCAACCGAGGATAGATCCAGGTCTAGCTGGAAATCAATCTGAAAATGCCCTGGGTGGAGAACCAATGGATATCGAAGCAGATGACATCTATGCAAAATCCCAAGCTAGAGTGGGATTACTCTCGCATACTCTAGTGCCAAGCCCGATCATACAGTGGATTCTACCTGCGCGTCTTAGAGGGAAGCATCAGAACGATGTCGTGTTCGTCGGCGAGAGATGTCTTCAGATCAAGGAAGCAGTGTCCGGTGTGCATCTTGAGGAAGTCACAAACAAGAATGATTTTGATGCGTATATCATGGCGGCCAAAGTCATCAATGTGAGCACGGAATTACCTTGGGAGGCACAAATGAAGTTGAGCGATAGTAGATCCACCATGTCAGCAGACGCAGCCACGCACAAGGACTTGCCGCCTCAGATTCTGGTACTTAGTCTCGCTTCAAGAGAGCTCACGTTCCTGTACTACTGGAATGCTGGCGAACAATTCATATACCACCATCGACCATTGCCAAATGATGTCAGTGCCTTCGAAAGGTTCGGTCGAAACATTGCTGTGGAGCCGAGGTGAGTATTCCGACCAGCAAGATGCTCAATAGACTGAGAGTTTTGGCAGATCTCGAGTTGTTGCAGTCAGTGCTTCTTCGGACTACTTTGGAGTCTTCGTCCTTAAGGAGCCTGCTGTCCTTCAATCACAGATGGCACAAAACAAACTGGACCCAATAGCAGAGGTATGCGCATGACGTTCATCAGAAACAATTTGTGGCCACTGATCGCCTTGGTGATATATCTAGGAACGCTTCTTTCGTGTCGACGGCGATATCATCTCTATGGAGTTCTTATATCCTACAAATGAGGATGGAGATAAGATCATCTTACTTCTACTCATCGCCCAGGATCAGGTCACGTATGCTGTCTGTTATGAATGGAACGCTTATGAGTCGCTACGACAAGCAGCCCCAAAAGTGACAAGAAAAGTGCTGCCGCTTGAGGACAGGCTACCTACCATGCTCATCCCCTTGACCAAGACGTCATCATTCATTCTCGTTACCACAACATCGATGGCCGTATATCAGAACAAACTCGATCCCCAAAGGCAACCAACTAGATACCCGCTTCCAGTTCCTGATCGTGCGTCTCAGCGACAACCGCTTTGGACCAGATGGGCAAGGCCTCTACGCAATTGGTTATACAACCAAAAGCACGACGACATTTATCTGTGCCGGGAGGACGGCAGGGTGTTCTATTTGAGTGTGGGCAATGAGGGCGAAGTGGAGAATCAAACTCATCTAGGACAGCTTTGCTGCGATGTTGACGCTGCGTTTGATATCTTGGATATCGGATATGAGGGCGGTGATCTACTTCTTGCAGCCGGCACGACAGGAGATGGTGGACTTTTTGTTCAGAAGGCCAGGGATCATCCAAGGTGTGTTCAACGTTTCATGAACTGGACGCCAGTCACAGACTCTGCCATCATTGGGGATGACATCGCCTCGAATTCAGGGGTTTCCGGTGATCGCTTCTTTGTTTGCTCGGCTTCTTCCTACGCGCGCGGGGCTGTGGTTGAGCTTCGCCATGGAATTGAGGCACAGAGCGGTCTAGTTGTTTCTCTAGAAGAACTAATGAGTACAACGGACATATGGATCATGTCAGACGGTATGAATGGAGGCATCTTCATATTGACTTCTGATCCAGTTTCTTCAATGCTTTTATATCTGGCAGCTGATTTTGTGGAGGAGATATCTGCTATTGATGAAAAAGACTCAGGCCTCGACTATGGCACACAGACTCTTGCCGCCGGGTGCACTGACACAGGAGCCATCATTCAAGTGACGGACAAGGCGATTCATATTGGTGCAACTTCCGAATTGTGGTCCAGTTATCGCCACGAATATGGTCCTGAGCATCACATTGCAGTGGCTGCTGTCAATGGATCCTCGTTGCTTGTTGCTGCTGCAGTCCGGACTTCACATGATGTGCACCTTCACCTCAAGAGACTCGATTCGAGCGGCGGCCAAGCCCAGTTACAAGATATTGGCCCTGCCCTGCCTATCCGCTATGACCCTGTATGTATGTCTATTGAGACACTGGGCTTTTGCACACATGTGTTCATAGGCACGGGCAATGGAAAGGTTCTGGTATACCGCGTAACAGATACAGTTTCTTTCGTGTCCGAAACAACCATTACGATTGAGGGCTCTGATGATATCTCGAAAGCCATCGACAGCCTTGCACTTATCAAGCCGATAAACGACAGATCATCTGCTAAGTACACCATGCTGTGCGGCCTTCGAAGTGGAAATCTGATCCCTTTCGAACTGATAATAGACAGCGAGATTGGTCTGTCTCCTGACGGTACGCACTCACACGCGTCACATTGATCATTCCATGCTCACTTCTTATTATGACAGCATTCAAGCAACTGGAACCGCAACGACTAGGACACACTTCGGTGAAGGTGCAAAGCAGGGGCGACATCGCCCTACTAACTTGTGGGCACGGATTCTGGCAAATATCATGCACCCAAGATTCTGTGACAACTAACTATACGACCCGAAGAGTTTGGGTTACTGACCAGAACAACGTGAGTTTTGTACTGCCCTTGAGAGATACGAATTACTAATCAAGATGCTAGCCTGCCTATCATCCGAACACAGTCAACAGTTTTTGTATAGCTGCCGTAGGGGGTCCAGGCGCAGAGGATCTTTTCGACACTCTCTTCTGCGTCGCTGAGGGACAGCTAATGATCTGTACTCTCGATCAGAAAGCGAAAGCTGTTCCAAGAAGGATTGACCTACCAGGAAGTGCTAGCAAACTCACATATTCGCGCCATTTGAGGAGTCTGGTGGTTGCATATAACCAGACCGAATATGATACGGATACAGACCCCATCCGACGCTATACTCGGCCATACATAGAGTTTGTAGACCCAGATTCGCAGCATTCCATGGCCAACACTTTGGAATCTCCCATTGACGAGAGCAGCCGTCCTTGGAGACCACAAGGAGTAGCTGGCGAGAAAATCAGCTGCATTCTAGAGTGGACGCCCAGGAAAGGTGATGAAGAATACCATTTTATCGTCATTGGTACGTCACGCAAGAACCAGCAGGACCGTGGCAGGGTCATTTTTCTTCAAGCATACCGTGATCCAACTGATCCGTCGCGGATCGAATGCAATGTGAAGCATATCCATAAGTTCGAAGGCCCGGTTTTCTCCATCGTTCCATACGGTGATTTCACCTTGATGGTTTCGACAGGCCATATGATCGTACCGCTAGAACCCAAGCTTTCTCAAAGCCAAGGTGTTCGGACAGCAAGATACAAAGTCCACTCGCCTGCGGTTCTCATGACGGCGCGTGAGCCTCATCTGTACCTTACAACATCAAGGGAATCCCTCATGATCCTCAAGGCTGGCGAGGATAAGTTGACTCTTCGTGCGCAAGACCGCCAGAAGCACGATGGTCTCTCCCACATCCATCTAGATGGCAATTCAAATCTCATCGTGACGTCCAGCAGAGGCGGTCGGGTCAGTCTCCTGACTGAGGACGGGGTCAATGAGCGCGATACCATGATGCCTTCAGCCTTGTGTGAGGCACACCTTCCCTCATCTGTCATAAGACTCGGCGCAGGGGCTAGAAAGTCCCCATTATCGTCTCAGTCTCCAGTGATCTACGGTACTGCTATGAATGGTACTGTCTATCGGCTCTTGCCGATCAATGAAAAAGAATGGCGTCTCCTTCGCCTGCTACAAAATCTATGCATCAGGGATCCCCTCATATGTCCCTTCACGCTACGAAGACAGAGACAACGCAATCCAACCAATCTGGCCGGCAACCATCCGTCTCAGATGCACATTGACGGTGATTGTTTGAGTCGCCTGTTGACGCGGGGTACTCAGGACCTCTTTCGTATGCTGCATTCCGACGATCCTTGTTCTGGACAAGCGCACAATTCGGCGGACATGATCTTTGAGCGATTCTCGGAGCTAACGCGAGATGTTCTTGGAGAGACTAGCTCTCCGGTAGATTCGGCGATAGTGTGGTTACGACGGATCCTTCAGGTCGAGTTTTAGATTCGGACCATGTGTCTTCGCTAGATAGAGCATCATGATACCGATTTTATTGTTATAATACTTTTCTTCAGTTTAATGTAGTTGGGTAGTGTTAACTAGTGAAGTGAACCTTGCAGAAACGGGACCAACTGGCGGACGCCACCCGCAACAAAGGACAGGACGGGCTCGCATATCGCATAAGCCGATCCCCACCACCGCCGGGCCCAAAATTCTTAATTACCCCAAAAGTCCTTCCCGCTCCATCGTGTCTCCAGCCTTGGACCGACCTTATCACAATCCACTTGAGAGGTGGGAAAAGGTACGTCTTCTTCCCTGCCATTCATTCTCGTCGGTTTCCCCTGCTCGTGTCTCTGGATCTTCCGAGGCTGCACTCGCCACCCGTCATTTGCTCTTCATTTTTGCCATCCCGACTGCCGCAGGTTGCGGGCCGGACAACAGGTAGCTGGCTGGATTGCTCGTGCGCGCACACCTCCATCAGACTCTTCCGGGCGAGCAAACCGGTCGGATTTGACTTTCTTACTGACGTCTGTTCTCCTTACCAGGTTCATTTTCAACGTAACCCTCCCTACATAACCTTTCAATATGGCACCCAAGAAGAAGGGAAACAAGAGACAGGAAGAGGACTGGGAGGCCGATCTGGGCGAGTCGGCTCCCACCGCCGCCTCTCCTCCTGCTGAGGACGCTGCCGCCGCTCCCGCTGAGGAGGACAATGGCATGGGCGGTGGTCTGCTCGCCGCCCTCCGCAAGAACAAGGCCAAGAAGGGCAAGAAGGGCAAGCCCGTCAACGACTTCGTCGAGGGCGAGGATGCCGCCCAGGAGACCAACGACGCGGCCAACGACTTCGCCAGCAAGCAGCCGGAGGAAGGTGGCTTCGATGATGAGGATGACGTCTTCTCCGGAAAGGCCAAGCCCAACAAGAAGGCTGCCGCCGCCGCTGCCGCCGCCGCCCCGGCGCCCAAGGATGCTGGTGATGATGGTGAAATCCGTGTGAAGTCGAAGAAGGAGAAGGAGAGGGAGAAGAAGGAGAGAGAGAAGCAGCGTAAGAAGGAACAGGTATGTCTATACGGCTTTGCTGTTGCGGCGGCGCGAGATGTGTTCTCGAGCTTGTTTTTCTTTGTGATGGATGCACTTGAGTCTGACACTTTCTTGATTTCCTTTTCATTTATAGGCTGCCAAGAAGAAGACTACTACCCCCGCTGAGACCAAGGCTCAACCTACTAAGGCTGAGCCTGTGAAGGAGGAGGCCGCTGCCCCTGTTGCTGCTCCCGAGCCTGCGACTGGCGGTAAGAAGAAGAAGATCCCCGCACACTTGCTTGCCATCCAGAAGCAGCAGGAGGCTCTACGGAAGCAACAGGAGGAGGCCGAGCGTTTGGCGGCTGAGGAGGCCGCTGCTGAGGAGGAAAAGCGCCGCCTCGAGGAAGAAGAAGAAAAGAAGAAGGATGAGGCCCGTCAACGGAAGAAGGAGAAGGAGAAGGAGAAGAAGGAGCAGCTCCGCAAAGAAGGAAAGCTTCTCACCAAGGCTCAGAAGGAAGCCAAGGAGCGTAACGAGCGCCGTATGCAGCAGATGCTTGCGGCTGGTGTCGGCAAGGTTGCCGGTCTTGAGGAAGGCGGTGCGGAGAGGAAGAAGCCCGTCTACGATAACCGCAAGAAGCGCGGCCCCAAGAAGCAGGAGGATGACTTGGAAGCTGCTGCTGCCCGTGCTAAGGCTCAGCGTGAAGCCGAGGAGGAGCGCCGCAGAAAGGAGGAGGAGGAGAAGGCTAAGGCTGAAGCCAAGGCCGCCGCAGCCGCCAAGGGTGGCGATGAGGAGAGTGATGTTGAGGATTGGGAGAAGGCCGCCGAAGAGGACGACGTGAAGGACAGCTGGGACGCACCTTCCGATGAGGAAGAGGAGAAGCCTGCTACGAACGGTGCTGAGAAGGCCGCTCCTGCCTCTGCTAAGAAGGAAGAGGAGGACAGCGACGATTCCGATGAGTCTTCCGACGAAGAGGATTCGGAGGATGAGCAGTCTGCGGCCCAGAAGGCCATTGCTCAGCGCAAAGCAGAGGCTGCCGAACGCCGGAAGAAGCAGCACGAGGAAGCCCTCGCCGCTCGTTCTAAGGACAACCTTCGTTCTCCCATTTGCTGTATTCTCGGACACGTCGATACCGGTAAGACCAAGTTGCTGGATAAGATTCGTCAGACGAACGTTCAGGAGGGTGAAGCTGGTGGTATTACCCAGCAGATTGGTGCCACTTACTTCCCCGTCGATGCCCTGCGCCAAAAGACCCAGGTCGTCAACCAGGACGGCAATTTCGAGTTCAAGATCCCCGGTCTGTTGGTCATCGATACCCCCGGTCACGAGTCTTTCTCCAACTTGCGTTCCCGTGGTTCTTCGCTCTGTAACATTGCCATCCTGGTCGTCGATATCATGCACGGTCTCGAGCCTCAGACTCTCGAGTCCATGAGATTGCTCCGTGACCGTCGCACTCCTTTCATCGTCGCCCTGAACAAGATCGATCGTCTGTACGGCTGGAAGAAGATCGACAACAATGGTTTCCAGGAGAGTTTGGCTATGCAGAGCAAGGGTGTCCAGAACGAGTTCCGTTCTCGTCTGGAGCGCACCAAGCTGCTCTTCGCTGAGCAGGGTTTCAACGCCGAGTTGTTCAGCGAGAACAAGTCGATGGCCCGTAACGTCTCTCTGGTCCCCACCTCCGCTCACACCGGTGAAGGTATTCCCGACATGCTGAAGCTGTTGACTACTTTGTCCCAGGAGCGTATGACTAACTCCCTGATGTACCTGTCCGAGGTCGAGTGTACCGTTCTCGAAGTCAAGGTCATTGAGGGTCTTGGTACCACTATCGACGTTGTCCTGTCTAACGGTATCCTTCGTGAGGGTGATCGGATTGTGCTATGCGGTCTCAACGGTCCTATCTCAACGAATATTCGAGCATTGTTGACGCCTGCGCCGCTCAAGGAATTGCGTCTTAAGTCGCAGTATGTTCACAACAAGGAGGTCAAGGCTGCTCTGGGTGTCAAGATTGCTGCCAACGATCTTGAGCAGGCCATTGCTGGTTCTCGTCTGATGGTCGTTGGACCCGATGACGACGAGGAGGACATTGAAGACGAGGTCATGTCTGATCTCGAGAACCTGCTCAGCAAGGTTTCCAGAGACCAGCGTGGTGTCAGCGTTCAAGCCTCCACCCTTGGTTCCTTGGAGGCCCTGCTTGAGTTCTTGCGTGTTTCCAAGATTCCGGTCGCCAACATTTCCATTGGTCCTGTCTACAAGCGTGATGTCATGATGGCCGGAACGATGTTGGACAAGGCTAGGGAGTATGCTGTCATGCTGTGCTTCGACGTCAAGGTGGACAAGGACGCGGCTGCGTACGCCGAAGAAGTTGGAGTCAAGATCTTCACGGCCGATATCATCTACCATCTGTTCGATGACTTCACCAAGCACATGGCCGAGCTGCAGGAGAAGAGAAAGGAAGAGAGCAAGATGCTTGCTGTCTTCCCCTGCGTGCTCAAGACCGTGGCCGTGTTCAACAAGAAGGATCCCATCGTCATTGGTATCGATGTGGTTGAGGGAAGTCTGCGTCTGCACACCCCTATCGCTGCGGTGAAGACCAACCCCGAGACCGGCGCGAAGGAGATTATCAACCTTGGCCGAGTGTAAGTTTCTATGTTCTTTTTGAAGTCTGTGTTTTCGGTGACTAATCTTCACTTAGTTCCTCCATTGAGCGTGACCACAAGGCCATCCCTATCTGCAAGAAGGGTCAACCTTCCGTTGCCGTCAAGATCGAGGGTGCCAACCAGCCCATGTACGGTCGTCAGCTGGAAGAGTCGGATACCCTGTACTCCCAAATCTCTCGTGCCAGTATCGACACTCTGAAGGAGTTCTATCGTTCAGACGTGACGATGGAAGAGTGGGGTCTTGTCAAGAAGCTCAAGCCTGTCTTTGACATTCCATGAGCGCCTTCACAGCTTATCTAGTCAACCCTGGGACTTCTCAGAGCCGAGTCGGTTAAGGGTCCAGATTCGACGAGCCATAGTCACCGGTCCTGGCTGTGGCTTAGGAAGCTCTCTCTGCCTTCACGTGCTGTGAATCATCATATCGTGTTTTTGCTTGCTGTTCCTACTGTTGCTTAGCCCACAATTTCCTTGAGGGATATTTCGAACGCACGATAAATGGTCACCTACCTAGGGATGAGTGAAGGATGGAACATTGGATATTGGGAGGTGAGAAGAAGAGGCAGAAGGCCTTGAAACGAGGAATGACTACGACTTTTTTCTTATCACCAATAAAAAGCAAGAAGATGCCTGTACATGAGACCTTTGATGTTGGAAAAAAGCTAGCCGTGGTCGATTGCTTTATCTCCTTGTTAATGAATAGCTATGGATCTAGTTCGAATTGAGTTCTTTCTATCACGAGGTTCAAAGTACTGTAACTTAAAACATTTTGGGCAATTGTCGCCGTATAGTCTACATAAGAGAAGAGTGCTCATCTGAAATGTTTCCAATGAGGTACATAGATAATATCCGACACCATCCATCCAAGAACATTCAAAAGTATATACATCCACCGCCACCCCCAAACACCCCACAATTCTCATTCTTCCAAGTTCCCTACCCCTCGCCCCTCTCCCCAAACCTTTTTACCCCCCAAAAAGAAAGAAAGAAACTAATCATCCCGCTCCCACCTCTCCACCTTCCCCCCGCGATCCGCCCAATCCAACCAACTCCCCTCATACACCCCAACCCGCGCCGCATCGTACCCCGCCTGCACGGCCAACTGCGCCGCCGCCCGCGCACGCACCCCGGCCTTGCAGTAGAACACGATCTCCGGCGCCGCCGCGCCGGCAGTGTCCGTCACGGCCAAGGACCCCTCCTCCACACCCGGCTTGGGGAACCCGAACCGCGTCTCGAACTCCTCGGGCGTCAGGAAGAGGGCGTCCGGCTGGGAGGCGAGCGGGACGTTGACGGCCGTCGGGATGACCCCCGTGGCGGTGAGTTCGGCGGGTTCGCGGACGTCGATTAGGATGAGGGGTTTTTGGGGCGAGGAGGGGTTTGTGGTTGGGAGGGCGGTTGTTATCTTTGCGAGAGGGGGTTAGTTTCTTTTCCAAATTTTTCAAAGAGGAAGTAGGGGGGGTAAGGTGGATTTAAAGGTAGGGAGGTACTTGTTTGGATTGGAGTATTGGATGTTGGTTCGTTGTGTTGGGTTGGTGTCTGGAGTTGAGGGGGGGAGGGTCGATGATATAGTTAAGGGTGCTGTGCGGTACGTACCTCTTCAAAGCCCCATTGTTTGAATCCTTGTCCCGGGGAGTTGGTGCTGTTGCGTCGGAGCTGCTGCTGCTGCTGATGCCGGGATTGGGGTTGATATTGAGGCTGGGATGGAGATTGAGGGACGAGTCGGAGTATAGTGCTGCTGCAGGGCCGGGTTGGGAGTTGGCGGGTTGCGCCGGTAAGGATGGAGCGCCGGGCGTTGGGGGCTTGCTTGACGGCGCGAGTGAGGAGCGCGGCGGAGCGGCGCTGGATGGGGAGGAGTGAGGACATTGTGGCTGTGTCTGTGTCTGTTGCTTGTGTCGTAAGATGCTTTGAACCTAGAAGGTCAAGAGAAGGTGGATGGTGATTGTGATAAGCACTCGGAATGATTGCGGCGCCGCGGGTGATGTCAGGTCCGCAGTTCACCGCCTGCCTCTTGTGACATACTGCTGATTCTCTACACGAAGATTTGTGAATTTGATATTGCCGATCAACCATTCGAAGTTGTGTCATTGTAGTCAATTCTGGTCAGTTGTGGTCACTGTACACTACTCTCTATTTCAAGAATCCCAACAATCGAGTCTCGCATTATTATTAGTTCTAGGTAGCGTAATCTAAGAATGACGTGTCACTTCAATGCTTCACGATTCACTGAAGCGGACGAGTCACATGGTTCGTTGCAAAATCATATACCTCCAGGCGCCTTGTCTCTTCGGCCACGCTGGACACATCAAAACAGCAAATGTGATCACCCTTGACCCTCCGAAATGATAAGAGAAGAAAGAAAAAAGGCGGGCAATGCGGTAAGTAGTTACAAGGTCGAGAAAGGAACAGAAAAAGGTGGTTCGAAGAAGAAGATTGCCTGCAGCCATATCACCAGGATAGGATGCAACGCAACACATGCTGGACACGAGTGCTTTCCATCCACCTTTCAATGTGTCTGGCAGGTGGGAAATCCAAAGCATCAAGCGTCCCGTCTTTGAAGCGAGTCGATAACTGCTCAAGGACGAGGACGGAAAGAGAGGAGGCAGTCATCCTGAAATAGGTCAGCAAAGTGAAATAAATTGAAGCAAGTTAGGATACATACCTTAGGGAAGATAGTGGCAAACACCTTGATCTCCTCAGACTCGGGAGTAGGGGTGTGCTCCCAGTCCATCTCCATGCTGGCCTTACCGATCATGGCCATTAGGTTCAGCTGAGCATAAGTCTGGCCCAGGCAGTAATGGGGACCAGTGCCAAAGACAAGCCAGTTCTTCGTCTGCTGCTCAGCGGTACCGGTGATCCAGCGATCAGGATCGAAGGAGTCGGCGTTGGGGTAGGCCTCCTCATCGTGGCAGGCGGGCCAGACAGAGGGGATAATCATGGAGCCCTTGGAAACAGTGACGTTCTCAGTGATGGGGAAATCCTTCTTGACCAAGTAAGGAACCATGATGACGGGAGGACGGTAACGCAGAGTCTCCTTAACAACAGCGCGAGTGTAGGGCAGGTTATCCATCAGTTCCATGGTCAACGGAGCGTGGATGTCGCCGTTGCGGACCCGCAGATTCTCCTCGCGAACCTTGTCGAGCACATCGGGGCGGTCGGCCATGATCTGGAACAGCCAAGTACTGGCGGCGCTGGTGGCGTCCTGGGAAGCGAAAAGGAAAGTGAACACGGTCTGGGCGATTTCATAGTCGGTGAAATCACGGAGGAGTTGAGGCGGCTTCTCGGTCGAGTCCACAGCGATACCCTGGGCAATCTTCTCGCGATACTTGGCGGAATCCTGCTGAGCCTTGACCCACGCGTCCATGATGCAAGTGATGTCTCCACCAGCAGCCATACGAGCCTTGCTCTTAGCGGCGCAGTTCGAGAACTCAACCAGAACCATGTCGGCGGCCTTCTTGCCATACCAGGCCTTGGAGTAGGGCAGAATGACGGGGAAGTTGACAAGCTCAAGCGCAGCGGTAATCAGGTAGTAGTCATCGGCAATCTTCTTGATGGCCTCTTCGGTGATGTAGTGGCCAACAAAAGTACGGCAGGAAACAGCGCACATCAATTCACGAAACTCAGGCATCCAGGGAGTGGGAGTGAAGTTGTTCTCCTTGGAGATCCGGAGGAAACGAGCATAGTAGTCATTGTAGACCTCCTCCATGCGGGGAAGGTAGTAGGAAAGGGCCTGGCGGGTGAAAAGGCCATTGAGACCCTTCCGGAACTCGACGTGATCTTTGCCATCTAAGAACACCCAATTGTCTGCACCAAGGAGCTTATGCGCAATGTCGACGACACAGGGCTTGACAAACGTAGGAGAATTGAAGATCTTGCGGGACATATCACGGGTGGAAGCAATGACGACGAACCTGAAGACAAACCAGTCAGATTCCCAGTCCATGTAAGTCGTGAGATGTGCAGCAAAAGCCCGTGAAACTTACTTGTGAAAGACGGAAACACAGCTCAGCGCGCCGCTGTCCCATTTGGCCTTGTATTCATGGAACTTCGGGTTAACGGACTGGAGGAAAGGTCCCATGAAAGGCAGCTTCCATGCTGGGCCGACAATCGAGCCCTTGAGCCAGAGGTATCGGACTGTTCTGACTGTTAGCCACCTTGGCGCACTCCAGATAGGAACGCGAAAGTGCAACGGGACAAAACATACACTGATCATAGATCACGGCAGCGATGAACAGAGTCAACAAAGCCTTCCATACGGTGAAACCCTCAAGGACAGTGGCGACAAGGCCGGAGGGCTCGAAAAGTTTGGGGGAGATCACGGCGTCCGCGGACGGGGAGGCGAAACTCCCATTGAGACTGGCCATGTTGGATAATGAACTGAGCAAGCGAAGGATGCTCTCCAACAATTGGCAAAGGGAGGAGGAGGGAGGGGGGGGGGGTTTGAAGGAATGGAAAGGGATGGAGAAGGAAGAACTTAGGAAAAGGAAAAGAGAGAGTGGGAACTGAAGAAGAGAAAGATCGGAGAAGAAGCCAATCCAGGGGAGACGCAACTCTAATTTGGCGAGGGAAAAATGGGTGTTTTGATTAGTTGATAGGGATTGGGGCGGGAAGCACGGGAGGAGAGAGGGGACGACTCAATAGACCAAGTATGCAATTGTATGAGTATGAGTAGAGTATGTTCTGAGAGGTACGCGGTAGACTACATCTGGCATACAGGGCACTGCAGCAGTAATTTCCTCATCAATGCAGTGGTTCAATAGTACGCCCAGTCGAGTGATAATGCGCCTGCATAAAAACTTACCCTGACAGGCGCCTTGCTTGAAGGGGAAATTTGCTGCCTTCGAGAATGGAAACTAGTCTGAAAGAAGTATAAAAACAGGAACCGTCCGCCCCCGTCCCGACGGGCGCCTCATTTTGAAGACTGACTCGGGGCTGCAGACTGGGTCAGTGGCAGTGAGCCTGTAACACATCTTTAGTTACTGCTGATTCATGAGTCAGCTATAAACTTCCAGTCTCCAACCCTCATCTCGCCTATGTGCACTCTGTCCGTTTTTCACCTGGCAGGTAGGGAACTAAATCACCAATGGCAATCGTACCATTTGTTGGAAAGGTGATCCGGCTATCAACCTTCCGGGTCGGCTTTTCCGGATGGCCCGTGCGGACTGCATCTCATCAAACTCAACTATTATCTTATTAGACTATTCGGTTGGTTGTTCATGCGGTGCAAATTGATTGAAGCATGTCGCAGGTTCCTCGTGGCTCGGTAAGTAGCTATAGTCAGCAGGAAGAAGGAGAATTGAGTTACGCATCGCAAGTCTCCGAAAGTGGACGGCACCTAGGCATAGCATGTACAGATACTCCGTACTATGCCTACCAAATGCTAGCAGACATATACACATTCATCATGTGGCTACGGCCCAAAGCTCAGAAAAATTGCTTGCATTGGTTATTCTGTTTCAGTCCAGCTTCGCTCAGCGCAACAAGTCATCACATCATATTCACTTTGGCTAAGGTATTATGGAGCTAACGATCAAACAGTGTGCCATACTAAAGTGTAGATTCTCAACCCTTGGCTGCGTCCTTACCGACCGAACCCGAACCAGCCGCGTCGCCCGCCCTTCTTTTCTTCTGTAGTCGCTTCTTCTTCTTCTTCTTGGGCCTGCGGCGTGACCTGAGCTACCGAGCTTTGACGAGGGTAGTCAATGTAATTCCAGGCTACGTCCAAGAACAAAGGCTTGACAGGGACTGGCTGCATCTGCAACGGAAACGGGACGATATTCTTCAGGTCAACAGCATCGCCAGAGAATTCATGCAACCGCTCAATCACTGGACGCTGGGTAGTCGACCTCGCCTGCGCTTCGACAGAAAGCTTTTCAACAGTGACAAGGCCTCGGTATTGAGCTACCAAGCCTCGCAGAGTTGACCCTAAGGTGGAAATTTGATTGTGCGAGATATCCAGCTTTGGGGGGCCCTCCACATTGATAGAGGACTGGAGAGACTCCGCAGATCCCGTGGTAAGAGACAAGGCTTGCGAAAACAGGGCAAGGGCGTTGGTAGGTTTCCCGAGAATGCCATGCGAGCGTCCAATGGTCAAGCATCTATGTTTTAGAAAGGTCAGTACTTGCTCATGGTTTCCAGTAGATATGACAAGTTACCTCAAAGCGCGGAAGTAGCTTCGCTTGGCGTCTAGCTCGACAACAAACGCTGAGTCTGCCGCAACTCCAGGCAACTCCAGAATAAAATCGATACTCTGCAGGGTGGAGTCATACAGCACGACCCGCTCACGCAGTCGCCCAAGTTTCTTGCCAATAGTTTCCTCCACTTTCCCGGAGCCCTTAGCATTCTTGAATTGTTTGGCGGGGCCTGCCTCAAAGGAGATACCATCATGCTCTCCGCACAAGACGCGATTACGTCCAATTCTCCATCCCACCAAGCCGTAATTCACGGCCGTTCGTGTAATCTGTAGCGCCTGCATCCTGTTATCGCTAGGATCGACGCCCTCGGCTGCCAGGTCATCAATTGCAGTCTTCGTAGCATCGACTGCATCCTGACTCGCAATAATAACATTGTCATATGCAGCGGCCTTGTCCTTTGGCGAAGCAGACTGCCCGGCGCTCTCTGACAGCCAAGCGGCGAGACGGGACTCCGCTGCGGCCGCAGATGCGAGAGCCTGCGAGATAGTGGCATCTTCGAGTGCGACAGTCCGCGACCTCCAGGTGATGGTTTCGGGAAGTTGCTGTACCTCCCCTTCAGCAGTCCTCCGTGTTCCAGCGGCCTCTTCTTTCAAGCAATTAGGATCGACCTTCTCAACTTCAGATCTGATGGTTGCATCGGAAGGAAAATAGCTGATCGCCAAGGATGGAAGAGGCTTAGTCCGAGGGAGTTTCATCTGATATGCAGCGTATCTGAGACTGGGATCGACAGTACCAGAGAGCAGGTCACGGAAAGCATCCTTCTTAACCTGCTGGCCTAGAGCCACATAGATGACTCGGGCAATAGCATAGTTTCGAAGACACTGTTCCCACTTGCGCTTCTCCAGGAACATCGATCCCGAGAGGGATGCCAAGTATGCGCGTGCCTCTAGCACATCAACATCAGTGGCCCCCGAAGTTGCCTGATCCTCCAGAATTGTGACCAAGTGCTTCGCGTAGGTGGTAGCTCGGTTCAGTCGGGCGATAATGTGACTCCGAGCAGCACCGGCAATCCCCTTGGCGGACGGATCTGCCGAATGCGCGGTCTTCTCGTGCATCGCTTGCGCCCATGCTCGTTCAGCGCTGGTGAGTAAGATGTGGACATATCTGTGAAACGGATATCGCAGACCTGAGTTAGTGAACTGCCGGTGGCAATACCAAGGAACAAGGTCGAGGGTGAAAACCTACTCCACATTCTTGCTCACATCCTCTGCGCTAATGGCAGGTTTGGCAGCGTATTTCCGGCCTTTGGGGGTTGTCTGTCCAAGCCGCTTCTGAAGCTTGTGCAGCTTCCGGCTTGTGTATGCGTGGTAAGCATTATAATTTCCAGTAAGAAGAGTCTCCTCCCGGTGAGCAAAGATGAAGTCGGTGATGTCCATCTTCCTGGTGATCTGATCGATTGATTGACCGAGGTATTGCCAGGTGGTGGTGCTGTTCCCACCCGAGCAGTTGCGGGTTGATGTGGTCAAGTCTCGGCCAAACAATCGGCCGGCTGATTTTGCGGGTGTTGCTTTTCCAGCATCCAACTTCCAAGCTTGCTGCTACACCTCAAAATTTCCTTCCGCAGCCACTACCGACCCCTCTCCAGATACCTAACCTCACCCTCCCCCTCCGTCGGGATATACCTGAAGCTCGAAGGTTTTACGCTTCTAAGCTCACGTTCCCCCTCTTGCAGCCTGGTGTGCTGGGTAGCAGCACATCTTCGGCAATCGGCATAGTCTTCTTCGGCGTGGTACGACTGGTCTCCCTTTGCAGCGCCTCAGCCCACGCTCATTCGGCCGTCTGACCGGTATCTAACTAGTTGCTTCCAGCCCAGGAACCCGATATGTTATGTATAGCAGTCAATCACCGGTGATAATAGGGTTCGACGCCGCAATTCTTCGAGGTGATGCTGGAACGAGCGGCCGGATGTCTTGAAAACGCGGGACGACGTTTCTTTCGAGATTCAAATGGTGCCATTCGAAGTCGAAGATCGTTCTATACTAGTCTTGTGCAATACCCTGCGACCAATCTGGAATTCCATCATGGCTCTTCGACCATCCAATCGCCGCAAAGACCCGTGCCCAACGATTCGAACGCCACTCCGCAATTCAACGATACACGAACGCCACCCCCAGTACTCGATTTCTTGTATCCGCTTTCGACCCAGGAATTCGCAGCCTCCTGCCTCTATCGTGTTCAAAAACGGCTCGTCCCGCGTCGAAGGAGAAGGACGCCCCCTGGCTTGACGAGGAGAACCTATAGATCGCGAGCTTCCGAGCTTGAAGAAGAGGATACGAGGAGAACCGATACATCGCAAGCTCGGGATCTTGAAGCCGAGGATCTTGAAGCCGAGGATCTAGAAGCCGAGGATCTCGAAGCCGAGGATCTCGAAGCTGAAGAGGACTTTTTCGACGCGGCGCAAAGTGATCAAAGTCCTGGTCAGAAAGCAAAGAAGAAAGCTTCTAATAGGTTCCTCGACCCCGCTACTCAAGAGGAATATGAGGCCTACGATGGTGCATGGTCTCGTTATGTCGCTGCTGGTCATCCTACACAAGTCAATGCGGCTCTCATAGCGTTCCTTAGAGATTCAAATAGGCATGTGGATCATAAACGTGCTAGAAGAGTGTTAAATTGGATTCCTCTTGAGTCACGATCTGAAGAAGACTACTTGAACATAGTCAAATCAGCTCTAGCCACCAACAAACTGCCCGAGGCGGAAGATCTCTGTGCAGAAGCCATACATTATGGCATTGGCATGAAATGTTGGGCTTTTCTCCTGGCTCACTATGCGAGTTCCTCGCAGTGGGATTGGGTGCAGGCATTCTGGGACCTCGGGTCATCATTCGCGGAGAATGACCGCACTCAAACATGGAGCGCCCTCGTTTCGAATTTGAATATGTCCACTCTCGAGGACCCGTTGACTGGCTTGGCAGACTATATACAAGAGCAGACAGCGAGCACTTCACTACATGATCTTGCTCGCTTTTTGCTTGACAATGCTTGTACCAGCCAAGCATTCGTCGAGCAATCTTCGGTCGACGGTATCTTGCTAGTTTTGCAAAAATACAACAACCTTGACATGCTCAAGCCTGCACATTATATCAAACTTCTCAACACAATCCGGACAACCGAGAACCGACAGATATTTGTCCGCGCTATCGTGATATATCGGAACTTTCGATGGAGGATGGATGGCCACGCGCCGTCAGCAAAACTTCTGGGCCATCTGGTGAGGCGCCTTGCCTCTTTGGAGATCACGGCTGGGCTTTTGTACTTTCTTGATGAATTCACCCATTTTTATGGAAAGCCAACCTTGGACGCTTATAAGCATGCGCTCGTTGCTTTCTCCAAAGTTGGTGACGTTGACAACGTCAATGATATTTTTGACAAAATGGTATCCCACCATGGCAAGCCCCAAAGCCGAAGGCTGGTGACTCCTCTTCTTTACGTTCATGCAAGAGTCGGTAACGTGCGAGAAACGTTGCGTCAATTCAATCGCATCCCTGAGGAGTTCGGTCTTCGCCTCAATACAGTCTGCTGGAATGTTCTGCTTACAGCCTATGCCAACGCTGAGGACTTGAGTGGGTGTTTCAAGCTCTTGAGGGATATGTTCGACCAGGGCATGGAACCGAGCTCGCATACTTTTGGTATTGTGATGGGTCTCTGTGCCAACCGAGGCGACGTTCAGGGTGTCCGTGACTTGCTCGATTTAGCAAAACAAAATCACGTACAGATAACGGCTCCTTTGATCGACACTATTGTAGAAGCGCACTGTCAGAACCAAGAGTTTGAAGAGGCGGAAAGGGTTGCGCAGACGTGCCTTGGATTGGACGTTACAGGCTCGCGTGTCAGAATGTGGAACGTCTTACTGTGGAACTACGCTTTCAGAATGGACTTGGAGGCGATTTCTCGGATTCGCTCGCTCATGGATGAAGCCGCCTTGCTCCCAGATAGCATGACCTATGCTGCTCTCATGCTCAGTCTAGTGCTCATTGGTCAAACGGAAAATGCCCGTCGCATCCTGAGAAAGCTTCATCGCAACAATCGCGTATATGCCACCGAATTTCATTATGCAATCATCCTGTATGGGTACGTGAAGAAGAGGAACCGAGATATGGTACATGTGATCTTCAATGAAATTCAGAAGCGATTTGGAGAGGCTGGTCTTGCCTCAAGGCTCCTCGTTCTCAAGAGTCAACTGCGGCGAGATTTGCAATTGATCACCGCTGGTGGTGGTGGCGCTGCCGGCGCATATACTCGTTTGGAAAACGCAGAGAAGTTCCTCAAGGAGACCATCTCAGAGTTCCACACTAACAAGACGGCGACAAAGGCTCCTGTGCTGGGCGCTGGCAGAATGTCTGCTAAACAGGCGTTCCCTACCGCATACTACGAACACATGATGAATGCCTATGGTAGGCGCGGAGCTGCTGGGCGAGCTCGAGAGTTATTCAACGAATTCATCCAGAGTCAACGCACATCACCTGATGATGACGCTCTCGAGGTAGCCCCAGTTCGCCTACTAACAGCGCTGATGCTCGCTCATATCAGAGGCAATGAACCGGAAATGGTCGAAGAATATTGGAACATAGTTTTCCCACGCGCCATTAAGATGGCTAGTCGACCGAATATTGAAGCATGGCTGTCCAATCCCAGCAATTCCGACAGCGTATTGTTTCCGTCTAACAAGGACCTCGTCGTCAGCTCCGAAGCTCACAGTGAATATAATGCAGACAAGAACAATGCCGACACAGCAGAGACTGCGGGCTTCTCCATTCTGTCTGCTCATCGCTTCATGCTCTCTCGGGCTCTTTCGTTATTCATGCGTTCTCTGGCTTACCGGGCTGAGGTTCAGAGAATACCCCAAGTCATCTTGGAAGTCGAAAGTGCAGGTTTCGCTTTAACCACCTACAACTGGTCTACTTACATCCAAATGCTTGCATCCTCATCCGAGCCGTCGGATCAACTCGAGGCATTCACCATGTTCGAGCATCGATTCATGCCTAACTTCCCTGGATGGAAGTATCTGCGCCGAGGATTCGGTCTCAAGCCGCACGGTGTACCCTCTACCATCGATGTTGTGGAGTCAGGCCGTCCCAAACCTCCACACCTGCTTGGTAGAGAAGGCCGACGATACTGGAGCAAGATCCAGCCAGACTTCATGCAGCCTACTTATGTATCAATGGTGTATCTGGCTGCTGCCTTGAAGGCGTTCCGAGAAAGAAGTGTCAACGATGGACCCGCGGAACTCCAAGCTCTATATGATCTCGCGCCGAAGACAGTCGATGCGGTTGCTGAGATTCCTTACCTTCGTGACAAGTTTCAAGGTGTCCTGCTCCGTGGTCGCGCACTGCGAACTGATACTCCAGCGAACGAGCGTGATGAGTTCGTATGGACGGGAGGTATTCTAGGAGCAGGCGGTCTCACGAGGACTTTCTCCAGAGATTATGAGCCGGTGGATGAGGGACTTGCTGATGATACGTCGGCTACGGAAGCCGACGACCAGGCCGAAGAAGCTGCAGACTTCGAAGAGGCTATTCCAGATATTGAGGAATTCAGAAGCCTCTTCATGAGAACACTGGAGAAGTCGGATGAGTTTGACATTGAAGTTGAAGCCCGCCTGAACAGGAGACGCAAAGGAACAGGTACCAAAGAAGAACTAGGGGACGATGAACGGAACCAGTCTATTGGCGAGGAAGATATCTACGAGGAAGATGAGCTCGACGAAGATGCCTCTGCAGATGCCTCAGAGGAAGCTTCTGAAGAAGCTCCTAAGCAGCATCCGGGTGATCTCCCAACTGAAGACTTCTTCCAGGAACAGCCAGAGGAGTTACCATCTGACGACTTTTTCCGAGAGCACCCAGATGAGTTACCATCCGATGACTTTTTCCAGGAGCACCCAGATGAGTTACCATCCGACGACTTTTTCCGAGAGCACCCAGATGAGTTACCATCCGATGACTTTTTCCAGGAAAATCACGGGACCGAACTGAAAACTCGATTGGGTACGACACGGGCAAGCTCGGAGAAGGGTCTTGGGGAAACTCAACAGGAGGCACCAGAGCAAACCTCTGAAGAGGTCCCCGCGGGGATCCAGGAGGAGTTGCCAGAGGAGATCTGGTCTGAGCCTCCGCCGTCCGAAGATCTCTTTGAAGAAGAACATTACGACGAAGCCCAAGCCAAGGCACAGATGAAGGCTCAACCCGTGAGTTCTGAGCAGGATACGGGCAAGCCCCAAGAGGCTCAAGTCCGAGTCATTCAAGAGACTCGTGATGAAGTTCAAGAGGGTCCATCCGAAGACCACGAAGAGCATCTTGGGGAGACGCGGGAAGTAACCCAAGAGGCTCATGACGAAGCCCAGCAAGGTCTTGAAGTGAGGAACCCCAAAGAGAAAGACGGTCGGAAGTCTTAGGAAAAACTGGCCAAGAGCCCCGAGAAGAGGACCGGTAATAAGTCGGGGCAGATGTGTAGGATATAGGGGTATTACGATGTACATATAAGAACTTTCTCCTTGTATATTATTCATACAGACTTGTACAAGACTCTACTGCTCAGCGTTTTCTATACAATTGTACATCAGATGATTGTCACCTCCGTCCATTATGTCCCTTGCACAAAGACGAGAAGGAAGATCTCGAACCACTTGTTATGTAGTCACGTAGTTAACGTGTTAGTTACCTGAGTTAGTAGTTTATGCACTCCGTAGAAGCTGACTCAGCAATGAAGATAACTAGTTAACTATAATTTGCCTATGCCTGCCAGACACGCTTTACGCGTTCCGTTGTAGGACGCGATCTAATATTACCCGAATCGGATGTCGCGTTTGAACCCGAAAGAACGGTTTCTCCGCCAACCTACCCTTCCATCAAGATCAAGCAAAAATCACCATTCGCATCCCCGCGCTTGCACTTGGACCCCAGAGATAGAGGTCACCCATTTTCTTGCTCTTCCATTTTCACTTCGATCATTTTGAGATACTCTTTTCGTTATTAGCAAGAATCTATCTGTCATGGAGGGACAATTCGATGATGCCGCACAAGATCGTGTGCGTGCCGCCGTCGAATTTCTTGACCCAAGTAAGCATTGTCTTTTGATCCTCTCATATTACAGTGTACTAATTGCTTGACACTGCAGGTGATGCTCGAGCACGCAGGTTTGTCGGCCTCTGACTACCATAACAAGATGCCATGCTTTTCGGCAATAAGGGGTCTAACTTGGAATTAGTTATCGAGCCGATATCTTGTTGATGCTGAACAGAGGGCTACGGCGGTTAATAGTGAGTTGTGGTTCTCTATATACTTCAGACGACGTAGCCTAATCATTATGCCATGGGTGTAGGTCAGCATTGATGAGATTCGAGCACATAGCCGTGAGATGGCCGATGGGTAGGATGCGCGCCTCGACTTCACCCAAAGGAAATTGGCTGATAAACTATACAGTCTTCTCACATCTCCCTACGAGTACACCGATGCTTTTGAGAGGGCCTTGAAAGATATCATTAAGACACTGCCCAACCGACCGTCGAGAGAAACTGCAGACGATGTGGTATGGCAATTCCAACCCCGAGGACTGCTTGCGCGGGAATTAACAATGACTAGCATTATCACTGTGGCTTCGTTGGCGCCTTTGGAGAATTCTCCTGTAACCCCAGAACCCTCAGCTCCTCACACCTGAACCGGATGATATCGCTGGAGGGAATTGTCACTAAGTGCTCCTTGGTCCGACCGAAAGTTATTCAGAGTGTACATTGGAGTGAGCGCACCAAGAAGTTCCTCACCAGGAAGTATGTCGACGCGACGATGACTGCGAGTGGAGCAACTAGCATGAGTGTTTACCCCCAAGAGGACGATGAGAAGAATCCAGTACGTCTTTGCATTCACCGTGGATATTGGACCAATTCTGACATCGTCCGATTTACTTAGTTGACCACGGAATACGGCTACTCGACCTACATGGACCACCAAACTATTTCGATTCAGGAGATGCCTGAGCGGGCACCGGCCGGCCAACTTCCGCGCAGTGTGGACGTGATCTTGGACGATGACTTGGTCGATCGAGCCAAACCTGGAGACAGAATTCAGCTTGTTGGCGTTTACCGCACTTTGGGTAACCGAAACGCATCTTCCACATCCGCCACTTTTCGCACGCTCGTATTAGCCAACAACGTCATTCAGCTGGCGTCCAAATCAGGCGGAGGCATCGCGCAAGCTACCATCACCGATACCGACATTCGAAACATCAACAAGGTCGCTAAGAAGAAGAGCGTGTTTGAGTTGCTATCTCAGTCCCTGGCTCCCAGTATTCACGGCCATGACTATATCAAAAAGGCGATCTTGCTTATGCTGCTTGGTGGTATGGAGAAGAACCTGGACAACGGAACTCACTTGCGTGGTGACATCAACATCCTCATGGTCGGTGACCCATCTACTGCCAAATCACAGCTCCTTCGCTTTGTCCTGAATACCGCACCGCTTGCCATTGCAACCACGGGTCGAGGATCTTCTGGAGTCGGTCTTACTGCTGCTGTCACTTCCGACAAGGAGACTGGGGAGCGCAGGCTTGAGGCCGGTGCTATGGTTCTTGGTGACCGTGGTGTTGTCTGTATTGATGAGTTCGACAAGATGAGTGATGTTGATCGTGTGGCTATTCACGAAGTGATGGAACAGCAAACAGTCACAATCGCAAAGGCTGGTATCCATACGAGCCTGAACGCTCGATGCAGTGTCCTGGCTGCCGCCAATCCTATCTACGGTCAATACGACCCTCACAAGGACCCGCATAAGAATATCGCTCTGCCGGATTCTCTCTTGTCGCGTTTCGATTTGCTTTTTGTTGTGACGGACGATATCGAAGACGCCAGGGACCGAATGGTTTCCGAGCACGTCCTTCGTATGCACCGCTACCGCCAGCCTGGCGCTGAGGAGGGTGCACCGGTTCGTGAACAACAGCATCAGACCCTCGGTGTCGGCTTGGAGGACAGCCAGGATTCAAATCATCCCACTGATGTCTACGAAAAATTCAATGTCATGCTTCATGCCGGCATGGCTAACCAGCGGAGCAAGAACAAGAACGTCGAGATCCTGAGCATTCCCTTCATTAAGAAGTATGTGCAATATGCGAAGACTCGTGTTAAGCCTGTGTTGACCAAGGGAGCTGCCGACCACATTGTGTCGACTTACTCCGCGCTGAGAAACGACGAGTTGTCCGGTAACCAGCGCAGAACGTCTCCCATCACCGCTCGTACTCTCGAAACCCTTATTCGTTTGTCCACAGCGCATGCCAAATCGCGCCTCTCGAACAGAGTGGAAGAACGCGATGCCAAGGTCGCAGAATCGATTCTGCGATTTGCCATGTTCAAGGAAGTGCTTGAAGACGAACGCCGGAAGAGGAGAAAGGTCACCACTTTCGACGATGACTCGGAAAGCAATGACTCCGATTCTGAGAGTGATGACGAGACCCCTGCACAGACTGCAAGCGCGACCCCCCGATCTACCAGACGGGGCGGGATGAGGACTCGCGGTGCCAATGGTGTCTCGACCATAACCGAGGACACCGATATGGATGCGGAGGGAGACAACGTGTCTGAGGATGGTGATGGCCTGTACAAGTCCAGTCCCCGTGGCCAGCGCCTTCGTTCCAGCCGTACTCAGCCTGAATCGCAAAGTCAGATGTCGGTAGCATCGTCCCGTCCGGCGTCGCAGCTGGTTGAGTCTCAGACGGACACCTCGCAGTCGCAGACCGCCAGTCTTTCGTCTCAGCCTATCCAACCTGCCCGTCTGACGGTCTTCCGCCAGGCTCTGGGCCCGCTGATGGGCACCCGCTTGTTTACTCACGGAGACACCGCCGACGTGGAGGAGCTGATTGGCGCGGTCAATACCGCTATTCGCAGTGCCCCCTCCCTCGGCGAAGGTCACGTCTTCCAGCGTCCGGAGGCCCTGCAGGCCCTGCGGGCTATGAACGAGAGAAATGAATTGATGTGAGTCCCAACTGACCCCCATGCTTCACTGTCAAATCATAGGACTAGACCTCTAACCAGGAATACAGGTACCTTGAGGATGATGAAACTGTTTACAGAATTTAATGAGCTATTTTGTTTGAGGATTTTCCGGCATAGAATCTGGGGTGTTCTGTTGTTGTCACGAAGTCAAGCAGGGTTGTATGTGCATGGTATTTTTTTTGTTACACGACGACTTTGATCTACATAATCGACATTTGAAGAAAGATCTGGCGTTTTCGGAGTAACTTCGATTTGTGTTGCTGAGATCTTGAAGTAGTGTGCGTATCATCGAATTGATAATGCAGCTATATTTGATCATACATAGTGGTATTCCACCTCTTTCTTACTCGAGCACTCCGCATGATCATGATAAATCACCAGCCCCAAAGCTAGTCCGCCGGGATGTACGAGACGTTCCAGGTATGCATTCCAAGTCAAGTTGTGACAACGCAGCGCCTATATCCAGAATCCACACAAACGGGTCTTCAAGATTGTCGCTATACACGCGCCTATATCTAGCCAGCCCTTTTTCTAGCTTTCGTACTATCTATATGGTTTCCTCTCATCTTATTTGTCGAGAGACACGAAATTAAATCCAAAGTTTACTCATTCACTCACTCTACTTTCAAGGTTTCAATTATTCTATCATCCTTGATGTCCAAATGGCAACATGAATACAAGACAGAGATATAACAGGGTATTAAAAAGAAGAGTAGAGGGGGTTGGGGTTGGGGTTGGGGTGGTGAGGGAAGAGATATGGCGATAGAATATAAAATGAATAGAAGGGGGGGGGGGGGGGCAAACGCACACAGGAAGAAGAAAGTCTACATCAAGACAATAGGATGTATGGCACTGGACAACGGAGAGTGAAGGAGGTAATGGGAGGGGGAGGGCCCGTCGGGTATAATTTGAACAAAACATGTTCTGCGATTGGGGTTGGGAATTCTCGGCTGGAGAATAAGCCTGACACCCTTGCTTTATTTGCAGTATATTCCTTTACACTTTTTTTTTTCCCTTGGAGAATTTTGCTTTCATTTTATATCGACCGGAGTACTGCTTCTCATTGAGGAGGAATCCTCGGATGAAAAGGATGGAGTGCGTAGTACACCCTCGCGGATTTGTGCCTGTGTCAATGGCGAGAGGCCGCGGGTGATCGTTTTGGTGCTTTTCTTCTTGCGCTGCTGCTGTTGCTGCTGTTGGTGGTGTTGCGCGTGATCCAGGTGGGCGATTGGGCTCAGGCTGCCTCGGCGCGGCCGGCCGCTGATAGACGACCGCGATGGCGGCCGCTCGTCCGTGTCCACGGGCGTAGTGCTCCGGGATGGGGTTCGGGAGTGCGATTCGGAGCGAGGGCCCCGTCGCGCAGGCGATTTGAACTCGAGACCGTGTTTCGAGGAGATACTGGAGTGGTGGTGGTGGTGGTGACGGGGTTGGAGCCCGGGCTCTGCAGATCGGCCGAGGGTTGCTGCGGCGAGTCGGCGACGCTGGGAGGTCTTCCAACCGGATCCAAGCCACCAGAACCAGCCACGGTCCTGCTGTGCGATCTGACGCTCTTTCTG